AATCCAAAAGGACTCTACAAGTACATTAAGGACAAAAGGGTAACTAGAGAGAGAATAGGGCCTCTTAAAGATCAACAAGGCCCATCTATATGTGGAACCACAGGAAATAGGTGAAATACTAAATGACTATTTTGTGTCAATATTCACTGTGGAGAAGGATATGGAAGCTAGAGAACTTGGACAAATAAACAGTGATATCTTGAAAAGTGTTTGTATTACAGAGGAGGTGATGCTGGATGTCTTAAAATGCATAAAGGTGGATAAATCCCCAGGAACTGATCAGGTGCTTTGTGGGAAGCTAGGGAAGTGATTACTGGGCCTTTGCTGAGATATTTTTATCATCGACAGCCATGGGTGAGGTGCTGAAAGACTGGAGGGTGGCCAGTGTGGTGTCATTATTTAAGAAAGATGGTAAGGAAAAGCCAGGGAACTATAGCCAGTGAACCCAATATCAGTGGTGGGTAAGTTGTTGAAGATGATTCTGAAGGACAGGATCTACATGTATATCGAAATGCATGGACTGATTAGGGGTAGTCAGCATGGCTTTGTGCATTGGAAATAATGTCTCTCTAACTTGATTGAGTTTTTTGAAGTGATGACAAAGAGGATTGATGAAGGCAGAGAGGTGGACGTTGTCTTTGTGGACTTCAGTAAGGCATTTGACGAAGTTCCTCATGTTAGACTGGTTAACAAGGTTAGATCACATGGGATCCATGGAGAGCTAGCCATTTGGATACAAAATTGGTTTGAACATAGGAGACAGAGGGTATGGTGGAGGTCGAGGATTGCTTTTCGGACTGGAGGCCTGTGACCAGCAGTATACCACATGGATCAGTGCTGGGTCCACTGCTTTTTGTTATGCATATAAATGGTTTGGATGTGAATATAGGAGGAATAGTAACTTTGCAGATGACATCAAAATTGTTGGTGTAGTGGACAGTGAAGAAGAATATCTCCGAGTACAGCGGAAACTTGATCTGATGGGCCAAGAAGTGGCAGATGGAGTTTACTTAGATAAATGTGAGGTGTTGTGTATTGGTAAGGCAAATCGGGGCAAGTCTTGTGCTTTAAAGTTTTTGACAAGACTTGTAGCTCGGGTTGTGGATGGGGTTGTTGATTTGTTCGCTGAGCTGGTAGGTTGGTTTGCAAATGTTTTGTCACCATACTAGGTAACACTATCAGTGCACCTCCAATGAACCATTGTTGGTCTGTCACACTTGTTATTTATGTGGTCCGGTTTGATGTGGTTGGCTTCATTTCCAGTTCTGCTTTGTAGTGGTTGGTATATGGGGTCTATTTCCACATGTTTGTTGATGGAGTTCTGGGTTGAGTACCAGGCCTCTAGGAATTCCCACGCGTGTCTTTGGTTGGCTTGTCCTAGGATGGTTACGTTGTCCCAGTTGAATTGGTGGCCTTCTTTGTCTGAGTGCATGGGAACGAATGATAGTTAGTCGTGTCTCTTGGTATTTAGTTGGTGCTGATGTACCCTGATAGCTAGATTTCTCCTGGTCTGTCCGATGTAGTGTTTGTGGCAGTCCATATATGGGATTTCATATATAATGTTGTTCCTGTTAGTTGTGGGGATGGGATCCTTTGTTCTTGTCAGTAGTTGTCATAGTGTAGCTATGGGTTTGTGTGCCACCACGATTCCTGATGGTTGGAGTGGTCTGGTGGTCATCTCTGATACGTTCTTGAGTATGGCAGCCTGACTAGTGTATTCGGGCGTGTTGTTGTCTGTTGAGTAAGTACTGGCGGACTACGCTTTTTGGGTAGCCGTTTTCAAAGACGCTGTGGAGGTGTTCTTCTTTGGCTTTGCGTAGTTCCGGCATGCTGCAGTGTGTTATGGCCCTTTTGAATGGAGTTCTCATGCAGCTCCGTTTGTGGGTGTTGGGGTGGTTGCTTATGTAATTAAGTATTTGGTCTGTGTGGGTGGTCTTCCTGTATACGCTGGTCTGGAGCTCACCGTTGGCCCTTTGTTCGACCATTACGTCCAGGAATGGGAGTCGGTTGTTGTTCTCCTCTTCCCTGGTGAATTTTATGCCGGTGGGGATGTTTTTGATGAGTTGGTGGGTTTCCTCCAGTTTTGTGCACTTGGTAATGACAAATGTGTCATCCATATAGTGGACCCATAGTTTTGGCTGGATAGTGGGAAAGGCTGTCCGTTCTAGTCTTTCAACTCCTGCTTCAGCTATAGGTCCTAATATGGGTGATCCCATGGGTGTTCAGTTGATTCATTTGAGTACCTGGCTGTTGAAGACAAAGCGTGTTACGAGGCATAAATCTAGTAGTTTGAGGGTGCGGTCCTTGCTGATGGTATTGGTGTTGTAGGAGTTCGGCATTACTGGTTCATCTGGTAACGAGGCTAGTGCTTCTTGAGCTGGGGGATGTCGATGGAAATAAACAGTGCTGTCATGTCAGAGGAGTCATAGTTTCGTCCTCGTCAATTCTGGTATCTTTGATATTGAGAACTTCTTGAACCGAGTGGATAGAGTGGGTTGAGCTGTTTACTAGGTGTATCGGTTTACGTTGTAATTCTTTAGCCAGTCTGTATGTTGGTGTACCTGGGAGGGAGACCATGGGTTTAAGGGGAACTTCTGGCTTGTGTACCTTGGGGAGTCTATAGAAGCGGGGTGTGTTTGATCCTCCCAGTTTCATCCTCTGGTAGTCTGTTTAGTTAATTTCCCCTGTCTGGTGTAATTTCCTTAAGGTGTCAGGACGTCTTTCTTAGTATCTGTGAGTGGCCAGTCGGATGGGTTTCTTATCCAAGGGTCTGCTTAGTCTGTGTCATTGCTGTGGGTGCATTTGGTTAGTTTTTTCTATAGGGCCAGTCTTTTCTTTGTCTTTGTCTTGTTCTGTTTGATGGTGATGGCTTTTCCCAGTGTTGCAGTCTGTTCTTGGCTGGTCAAGTCCACACACCCGGACAAAGAAGGCCACCAATTCCACTGGGAGAACATAACCATCCTAGGACAAGCCAACCAGAGACGCACAAGGTACTCAACCCAGAATTCCATTAACATACGTGGAAATAGACTCCATATACCAACCACTACGAAGCAGAACCAGAAATGAAGCCAATCACCACATCAAACCAGACCACATAAATAATGAGCGGGACAGACCAACAATGCATCATCAGAGGTGCACTGATGATGTCACATAGTATGGTGACAAAACATTGAGGTTGGTTGGCTCGCCGAGCTGGTTTGTTCTGCAGACGTTTCGTTACCGTGCTTGGTAACATCCTCAGTGCCATGAACACCAACTGGCTACAAAAAGACACGACCAATACTCACTCCTCTCAATCCACATGGACAAGGAGAACCACGACTTCGACTGGGACAACACCAAGATCCTGGGACAGGCTAGGCAGAGACAAGCATGAGAATTCCTGGAAGCATGGCAGTCCACGAAGCAGGCTATTAATAAACACATTGAACTCGACCCCATGTACATTCCACTACGGAGGAAACCCGGAAGTGAGGCAATGCATCGCAACGGACTCCAGAGTTTAAAAGCCAGGTGGGAAAACACACCGACGCTTCATCAGAGGCTGCACTGAGGATGTTACCAAGCACGGTAATGAAATGTCTGCGGAACAACAAACCAGCTCGGCAAGCCAACCAACCTCAACACCCTCAACCCGAGCTACAAATCTATTCCAAGACCTTATGGTGACAAAACGTCTGCAAACCAACCTACCAGCTTGGTGAACAAATCAACAGCCCCACTTATACGCTTAATGGTACAGTCCTGGGGAGTGTTGCCGATCAATGAGACCTTAGGGGGGTGCAGGTTCATAGTTTCTTGAAGGTGGAGTCACGGGTAGACAGGGCATTGAAGAAGCTGTTTGGTACACTTGCCTACATTGGTCAGTTCATTGAGTTTAGGAATTGGGAGGTCATGTTGCAGCTGTACAGACAGTTGGTTAGGCCATGTTTGGAATACTGCGTTCAGTTCTGGAATCCCTGCAATAGGAAAAATATTGTTAAACTTGAAAGGGTTTAGAAAAAAAATTGAGAATGTTGCCAGGGTTGGAGTGTTTGAGCTATGAGGAGAGGCTGAAGAGGCTGAGGCTATATTTTCCCTGGAGCGTCGGAGGCTGAGGGGTGACCTTATAGAGGTTTACAAAATAGCCAAGGTCTTTTCCCCCATGGTATGAGAATCCAAAACTAGAGGGCATGGGTATAAGGTGAGAGGGGGAAGATATAAAAGGGACCGAAGGGGCAACCTTTTCGCACAGGGTAGTGTATGTATGGAATAAGCTGCCAGAGGAAGTGGTGGAGGCTGGTAAAATTACAACACTTAAAAGCCATCTGGATGGATTCATGAGTAGAAAGGGCTTAGAGGGATATGGACCAAAGCTGGCAAATCGGACTAGATTAGCTTAGAATATCTGGTCAGCATGGACAAGTTGGACTGAACGGTCTGGTTCTGTGTGGCACAGCTCTGACTCTATAATTAGGTTAAGTTAGTCAAACACAACCTTTGTCTAACAAAGCTGACTGTCCTTGAGTAATCTGGGCGTCTCTAAATGGCAATTTTAGCTCCTTTCAGAATTCTTTTCTAATAATTTACCTACAACCAAGGTTAAGCTGACTGGCTTCTATTTAGGCTATTTTTTTTCCTTGTTTTCTGAACAATGCTACAATGTTAGCAGTATTGGAAAATGGTAGAGCCTCTACTATTCTTCCCTTGCTTTCGTTAGCAGCCTGAGATACATTTTATCTGGGCTAAGTGATTTACCACTCTCGAGAATGCTAAACCTTAATATTTTGTCCTTTTGTATTATCTCTTGTACCATATAGCATTCATAATGACTGTAAAGTTCAGTATGATGATGACTGTTATTGCTCCAAAGAATCAGCAGTTCTGATGCTGTCATTTTTTATGTTGGGTTTAACCATGTCATTGTTTGCACTGGAGCAGGAGTGAAAACTAATTTTGATTATTAAAGTGTGACAGCATGTTAAGATTGAATACAATAATTACATTTTTTTTAGGTTCGAGTTATCCCTTTGGAGCTGCAGAGACTTTTTGCTCAGCTATTGCTTGCAGATCAGCTGGCTGCATCTACATCTGACCTAACTGATAGCTTTGGCTGGACAAGCAATGAGGTGTGTTGTGTAACACTGATTATTTATTTCTTGCTGGATTTCTGTAGGGATTTAGGAAGGCAGAGCCAACTTTCCCTCTGTTTTATGCTGCTTAAGTGGAGACAAATTGCCTGGCTGCATATTATTCTCTTTTTGCCCTTTATTCACACAAAGGGTAGTAGGAAATCGGAACTGAAAGCTGTCGAGCCTGAAGGTCGGTTGAAAATTTCTGAACTCAGATTGTTTGGTTTTTGTGAGGCTATTTAAGGAGTGCAAAATCAAGGCAGATAATTGGGTAAAGACTTATCATGATCTAATTATATGGAGAACAAACTTTTTGGGGATTGAATGACTTATTCTTATTGCTATATTTCCCTATCCAAGTATTTAATTGCTAGGAAGTGACCATTGTGACCTGATCTCCAGCTTGCCTAGAAAACAATATAGTCACCATTCAGCACCAATCCCTGTTCCAGTATCACTTCAACCTTTCACCAACATCCTCATGCTCCTCATTGTGCTCCATTTTATTGATAAGTCTAGGTTTAGATAGAAATTCTCCAGGCAGCATTATTATCTGCTAAATTAATTTTATTTTCACTGTTTTGTATCTATCTGACCAAGAAGATGGAGGTGACCTGATCCCCTCTCTTTATTGCTTTTGAGCCAGCCATGTCAGTATGCTTGACACTGGCTTTAAAAATATTTTGCATCATGAGGTAATCAACTGAGGAGACCAGGATCTGAAAGATGGTTATAATTTTTATTTTATGACCTAATCTGTCCCCTTAAACTCAACTCCCACATACTTGGTAATAATCTAGCCTCTGGGGACAGTGAGGCTTAATTATACTTTGGTGAGGAAAGTTTATACAACCACAGATACTTGTAAATTTTCTGGCTCTCTATTTTAAGCAAAATTTGGATACCTTTTTCTTTCTAAAACTGGTTAGTATGGTCACTTGAATGCAACAGATGTTCCAAGCAACTTCACAGCATTGGTATTGTAGAGGATTTCCCAGCCAAAGCCTGACCGTGAAGTTTATTAAGCACTTTTGACATTATGAAGCCCCTTGGCAGGAGCTGAACGGTATTACAGGCTAGAAGAAATGATTAAAATCTTGGCTGAATATCCAAGTCTTCAGGTTGTGTGCCGTGTTGGGAGAGTTTCAGGGATGCTCAAGTAATTCGATGTTGTGGAGCAGAGGAGGGTGGGAAGACTAAAATTGTGTGATTCAAGTTGAAATGTAGGACTAAGGCCTTTGAGGAATTCGTAAGCTATAATTTCGTGAATTGGTTGATAAAATGTGTAATTTTGCATTGTTGCTTCCCTGGTTGTATCATCATTTCTCTTTGAAAGCCCTTCAACCTGTATTTTGCTGATATACTTTTAGAGGATTTGATTGAATGTGTAATTGAATAAGTTAAAATTAATTTCCAGGAGACTAGTCAGCATGACGTACAAGAACTAAACCGAATTCTCTTCAGTGCACTGGAGAGCTCTTTAGTTGGAACTTCCGGGCATGACCTCATTAACAGACTATACCATGGAATAGTTGTTAACAAGATCGTCTGTGAGGAGTGTGGCAACATTAGCGAAAGACAGGTATAAAACTGTTTTTTGAATACTTGTCTTGTGTCACCTCTTAACCTTCTTTGCTCTAAGGAGAACGCCCCAGCTTCTCCATTCTTTCCACCTACTGAAGTACCTCATCATTTTAATAAATCTATTCTGCACCCTGTTTAAGATCCTTACATCCTCCTTAAAGTGCTCTGAATTGAACATAATACACCAGTTGAGGCCTCATTTTTTTTAAAAATGACTAGCATCCTCTACAATAAATGTCATCTGCTTTCTTAATTGTTCCGCCATCTTCAAAGATTTGTGTACGAAGACCCTCCGGTTTCAGCCATACCTCCTGTTGCTAACACAATTCCAGGTTCAAGTCTCTCAGCCCAAAGTTTGGGCATAAAACCAAACACTGACACTCCACTGCAGGACTAGGTGAGGGCTGCACTGTTTGAACTGCCTATTTTGGATGAAATGTTAAATCAAAGCCTTGCCTACCTATCTAGAGGGATGTAAGAGAAACCATGACCCAATTACACCAATTCAAAAGCCCACTAGCTAGAGACGGAGTTGAATTATGGTAGGCTTTGTAAATGAACTGATCATCCAGAGGCAAAAGAGGAATAGAAATTGCTGGAAAGGCTGAGCAGGTCTGGCAGCATCTGTGGAGAGAAATCAGAGTTAACGTTTCGGGTTCAGTGACCCTTCCTCAGTACTGATGGTAGCCAGGAAAATGTTTGTTTTTATGCAGAAGATAGAGTGGGTAGAGGACGTAAGGAATAAACGATAGGTGGAGATAGAGCCCAAAGGGAGAGAAGAACAGTTAGACCAAGGAGTGGATAACAGTCAGCCCAGGAGAATGAATAGCTACTAATTGGGACAATTATTGGCCAACAATGGGTGGTGTGTGATAACAAGGCCTGGTGTGTCAGGGTTGGGGTAAAGACATGGGGGAAGGTGCTTCCAGGCCTAAATAACTGAACTTGATGTCAAGTCCAGAAGGCTACAGTGTTACCAAGCAGAAAATGAGATGCTCTTCTCCCAGCTTGCACTGAGCTTTGCTGAAGTACTACAGCAAGCCTGAGAGGGATGTTACGCAGGGAACAGTGTGGTGTATTGAGCTGCAGTGATCATCCAAAGACCCAGGCTAATACTCTGAGGACAAGGGTTCAAAATCCCTTTAGGGCAGTTGATGGAACTTCAAATTTAATTTAGAAGTCTGAAATTGAAAACTTAGCTCCAAAAGCTATCATTGATTGATTGTCATCAAAACCCACAAGGTTCACTGAAGGTCTTTGGGGAAAAAAAAAATCTCCCGTCCCCGATTCCAGACCCAGAGCAACGTGGTTGACTCTTAACTGTCTACGACGGCAGTTAGGGATGGGCAACAGATGCTGGATTTGCCAGTGATGCACACATCTGATGAATAATTTTTTTGACAGATGTGTCCCCTGTGTCCTAGCTAATATTGATTTCTCAATTAAAAATAGAAAGAACAAATAAAGTAGTCATTATCACAATGCTGAGATAACAAGGTGTAGAGCTGGATGAACACAGCAGGCCAAGCAGCATCAGAGGAGCAGGAAGGCTGACGTTTCGGGCCTAGACCATTCTTCAGTTGAACACGCTAGGCTCATATCTGCTGGAGTTTAGAAGACTGAGAGATGACTTGATTAGAACATGTAAAATCCCAAGGAGTCTTGACTGTTGTGGAGTAGATGCAGAGATGAGAGGTTATTTTCTAAAGAAGGGTCTAGGCCCGAAACGTCAGCCTTCCTGCTCCTGTGCTGCTTGGCCTGCTGTGTTCATCTAGCTCTACACCTTGTTATCTCAGATTCTCCAGCATCTGCAGTTCCTACTATCTCTGAAACATTATCACAATGCTGTTTGTCGGAGCTTACTGTGTGTATTGCCTGCTACATTTCCTACATTATAACAGTGAATACATTGGCTGTAAAGCACTCAGATTTTGAAAATGAGGTATAATGGCAAAATGTGAAATTGCCCATTTTGACAGGAAGAATAAGTGGAAGCAAGTTATCTAATCGGTGCATGATTGCTGATGTCCAAGATGCAGGAAGGTTCTTAGTTAGTCCCAGTGCATGAATTGCAAAAATAATAATTAGGAAAGCTAGTGGAATTGTATTGTTTATTCAAGCAGAAACAAGTACAAAAGTAGGGATGTTATGTTCCAGTTATACATGATGTTAGTGAGGACCATTTAGAGTATTGTGTACAGTATTAGTCATCTTAGAAAAGGAAGGATTTTAATGCTTTGTTTTGGAAACAGTTGAGCAAAGGTCTTAGACAAAAACCTGGTAGATTGCCTTAAAAAAGAGTTGAACACGCTAGGCTTGTATCTGCTGGAGTTTAGAAGACTGAGAGATGACTTGATTAGAACGTATAAAATCCCAAGGAGTCTTGACTGTTGTGGAGTAGATGCAGAGATGAGAGATTGAGTAGCTTAGCCCTAAGAACTCCAGAGTTTAGAAAATGAAAGGAGATCTAATTGAAGTCAGTATGATGCTAAAGGGATTGATAAGATGGATGTGGAGATGTTTTCAAATGGTGGGGCAATCTAGTACAAGAGGTTGCACTTTTAGGATAATGGATAGCAGATTAAAACAGATGAAGAGAAATTACTTTTCTCAAAGGGTCAAGAATCTGTGGAATTCATTATCCAAGAGTGTGGTGGATGACAGAACATCGAGTAAACTTGAGGAGATAAACAGATTTTTAATTAATAGTGGGGTGAAGGGATATGGAGAGTGGGAAGGGAAATGGAGTTGAGGCTCAGATGAGAGCAGCCATGATCATGATTAAATGACAGAGCAGGCTCGAGCAGCTGAATTCCTGATCCTAGTTTCAATGTTCTTCAGTTTTCTATAATGGCATAGTATATAAATAGATTTGTTGAAAAATAAAAGGTGGTCCATTTAAGGTAGAGATGAGACTTTTCCCTCAGAGGTCATGGGTCTTTGGATTGTTCTTTCAAAAGGTGGTTGAGGCAGAGTTTTAAGACAGATTCTTGATAAGCAAGGGTATGAAAGGTTAATGGGTGGTAGGTGATAATGTGGAGTATTTATAACAGCTACGATCTCACTGACAGTTCAAACTCGACAGGCATTTTGGTCCACTCCTCCTAATTTGTATGTATTTCAGCATTGACTCGTATGTGCAGTATTGTCATAATTCAAATGAAGTTGCTGCAGTTATTAGTCCTTGTGACTGACTGAACAGAAAAATCACAGTAAATATTGAAGTAAAAATTTGCCATGTGAGGTTGGCCATTTTGGTAGGAGCACTTGAAAAGCAGTTAAATACTGACACTGTAAAATGCTGTAGTACAGGAGGTCGTAGTGTCCTCATTGATGAAAAAATGAGCATGCAGGAACAGCAAATAATTACAAGAATGAGAAATTCTGCACTTTTAATTAAAATTTACTGACCTCCACTTCCCCTTGGCTCCCATCACTGCCTCTAAAATGAGCAGGGAGAGAGTCTCAGCCTAGAAAATGTTCACTGAAGTAAAGCTGGGAGCAGGCTCGTGGGAGCCCGTTTGGCTTTGCCTCAGCTCGGTATTGGTTGCTGTCGTTCATCCCACTTAGCGGTCACAGACTGCTGCTGGGCATTCGACGGAGCCATAGAGTTCAGTTGGCAGAGGTTTGGAGAAAGAAGCAATGGTGGTCAAGTCTCCACCAGTTGTATTGAATTGGCACCAATTTTTTGAATGTCACAGTTTTGTTCTCTGCCTGCTGAAATGAAACAGCACTCAACAAATAGCCATTGAAAAGAGCTGCTGGAAAGGAATGCAGAATATCGCACACTTCAAGTTGTGCTAGAATCAAAAGCCTGTGTATTTTCAGCAATATTTATTACCAACTTCCAGTCATGTTGCCTGGCCATTCTGGGACTGTGGGTCCCCAGGTAGGCTTGGTGTCACTAGATGGCTGTTGGAAAGTCCAGGGCAGTGGATGATTGGAGGGTGAGGTAGAGGTTTGGGAAGAGGAACTGCTATATGAGTGAGTGGGGAGGAAGCAGCTGGGAAGAGTTTGGGCTGAATGGACTGTTTCCATACTGTATTACTCTAAGAGGGGCTGTGTTAGGGAGGTGTTTTGGGAAGAGATGCTGCGGCATGTTGCACAAAAGGATTTGGGAAGAGGACTTCCCAAGTGAGTGAACCAAGGGAAGGGTTTTGGGAAGCTGTGTGCACACTTGTGTGTGAGGCTATGGAAAAGTAGCTGAATGTGATGTATGTGGGGGCAAAGGGAAGAGGGACTTTATTGGATCTTCTGTAACTAGGAAATTTAGGGACCTTGGCTTAAAACTACATACGTACATAAAATATTTTTACCCAAGTAATTTGTAAATATTCAGGCTTTATTTGTCAATCATTAATATTTGAACTTTAATTATACAAGGAGTGTTATTATGCTACTTTTTTGCTGCTTTGCTTTTGCTGTCATCAGGGGTCATGTGAATTTTCAAGTATATAAAAAAAAATTTGTTCAGAGGATGCACATGTCACTGACAAGACCAGTATTTGTTGCAGTGGAGGAGGTGATCGTGTGTTAAAATGAATTCAAGTTGGAAAATAGTTTGTGCAGCACTGCTGTAGTCTTTTGCTTTGCAATACATAATACAGGAAGGTCATGTTAGTATGGCCTTCTGACCTCAGCTGAGTTCTTGGAATGAGACAAATAGGCAAGGGGCAACGATTCAGGTGCAACAAGTTGTGTTCATTAAGTAAATGATTTGAGCAAAAATGTGTACTATACAGGACAAGCTGCTTTTGATTATGCTGCTCAGAGCTGTGTGAATGTGGCTGATGGTATCCTCAGTTCTCTCTGATATCTTCTCTTTTGTGCCTGTTCCTTGTCTGTAGTAAGGTCCTGAAGGCCTCCACTTTTGTAGCCTACTGTCTACGTGGCTACCTGACCCCTCGACTAAATGAGACCTGTTGTGAGCTTTGCAAACATGGGCTTGGTTGGGTGCAGTTGGTACTTTGTTTTCTATGTGTAGCCAAAAGGATATGCTGCGTGATTTGATCCACCAGTTTATGGTTTGAAAGACCTAAACATTCTGGGAGTATCATACTGGGACTAAAATGCACTACATCTGCAATGTCAACATCTATGTCAACCATCTACTTCCTCTTCCTTCAAATAATGATCCACCAGCTGCACCTAATAGCCCATTGCATTCTGCTGAAGAACCTTGTAATGTGGGCCAGAGTGGTAAATTATATATTCCTTATTTTATGAAACTCTTTCTCCAGTAGAGCAGCTTTTAATGTTTAATGCTATTGGATTTTATCCTTTACAATGTTCTGACTGCAGGAATAGGTTCTAAGTATCCAGCGTTTCAATACAAAGGGCAGGACCTCACTTTATTGTCCACATTGCATAAATGTCCTGATTCTTTTATAAAGCAGGCAATCCTTTTGATCCTCTGCAATGCTACGGGGGATCTAATACGTAATGTTAATAATACTCGAGTTGTACATGCTGTGCATATCCTGTTAACAAAGTGCATTTTCTGAGTCATAATAATGAGTCACGTTTTTATGTCAATCTGTCTTGGTTGTAGCACACTGACTTCTGAGCCAGAACTTAACCAGTTCATGGTTGATCTGAGAGTGCACAACATCATAGGATTGTTGCAGCATAGAACGAGATCATTTGATCTATTGTGTCTGTGCTAGCTCTTAACAAATTTCCTAATGCTTTTCTCCCTATAATGCTGCACATTACTTAGTTTTCAGATAATATTCAGTTCCTTCTCGATGACTTGATTGAAACTACCTTTACCACACTGTCAGGCAATGCATTCCAGATCTTAACCACCCACTGTAACAGTTCTTGTCACCATTGCTTCTCTTGCCAGTTAACTTAAATATGTGCCCCTGGTTCTCAATCTTTCCACCAATGGGAGTGTTTTTTTCTATCTACCTTGTTCAGACCACATTAAATGCAGAAACCTTGATCAAATTTCCCAGCTTCCTCTTCTTTAAAGAAGACATTCCCAACTTCTTCAAACTAAGTAACTGAAGTTTCTCAACCTTGGAACCATTCTCATTAATCTTCTCTGCACTTTGTCTAACTTAATTCTTCCTAGAATGTGATATCCAGAACAATATGCAGTACTCCAGTTGCAACATGAAAAGATGAGGTCAAGCCAGTTTTTAATATTTGTTCAACAGAACCTCCTTTTATTTTATGTATATATAGTATTTGCCCTATTAATAAAACCTAAAATGCTAGACGCTTTAAGTGTTCTCAACCTGTCCCACACTTTCACTGATTTATGTGCATGTACTTCGAATTACTTCATACTTTTCTGTTTTGAATTTCTTTTGCCACTTGTTTCCACATTCCATTAAATTGTAAATGTCCTTCTGAAGTTCTGCACTATATAATAATAACTCTGCTTGAAAAATTCAATTAATGCGTAATGTGAATCTATATGTAAGCACTTACAGAATTTATTATCAGCTGTCTGTCAACAGTAGTTACAGTTTCTGCTGTCTAGTTGATGCAGTGGTATGAAAAGTGTAGTTATAGCATAACCATTGCTCACAACCACTCATATGCTTCTATGCTTTTTTCCATAATTGAATTCCAGATTGTTTCTGAGGCAGAAAATCCCATTCTCTTGATATTTAGCTTTCCAATTCCCAAATATTAGCTGCATGGATTTCTGAGCTCAACCCATTTTCTCTGTTCAAATTACAGCCCTGTTATTAACTGCTGTCAGGCTGGAGCCTACATGCGGTTTCTCGTCTCCTCTGTCCTCCTTGCTCCTCAGTTCATGCCCAGTCCATTCCCACTGGAGAATAAGATATTAAACAGCCAAGCTCAATTTCCTGCTCCGGGATAGTTTGACTATACCGCATGTTTCTCATTATTTTGTTTCATACTTGCATTTGTAATTTGTTCCCTTCATTCTTTTATTCCTAAATGCACCTTTTTGATGTTCTTTATTCTTTAAAAATATGTTCTCCCTATAGTAACTTGTTCTCATTGCCTCTGTGGATACCATCATGGCAGGAGGACTTCCTGGACTTGACTGTAGCTGTGAAAGGTGTCCGTGGACTGGAAGAAGCTTTGTGTACCTTCTATGTTGAAGAAGAACATTTTGATAATGATAATCTCTACCACTGTGGAAGGTGTGAGAAATTGGTTAAAGCAACTAAGGTAAGCTTGCCATAGCACCTTAAGAATATCTTTGATCTCGAGATCCTGTAGAGTGCTAGATGGTAGGCTGCACTCCCCAAGTATAAATAGCTCACAATATAAAAGAACCGTCAGGATTGCTCAAACGTTACTGGGGCAATTTTAACCTAACTTGCTGGATGGGAAACCTATGGGATCAGGTTAAATGATTTAATGTCTAACATTTCTTCCTATTGAAGTCAATGAATACAGATGGGTGTGGTTTAAAAACCACCATTGCATCCATTCCTGTCAATTTTCTGAGTGGTGGAATAATTTAGAGTTGATGTCATTGGCAGGATGCATAGTGATCTTGATCCTGTGGTTTTCTCTTTGCAGTGAGTTAAAATTGCAACAACTGTGGACTTGTTAACCAGAACAAACCATGTTATATACAGCAAACTTTGTTTTAACTACACCTTATGGACCAGCGCGCTCAATAAACCGGCAAAAATTATATACTTCAAATACTGTGATGTTTACTGTATTATTCTGTCCAATTATTATAGTTTTTAAAATTTATTTGCCTCAATTTAAGTGTACTTGTTCAATTGAATGGCCAAATGAAATATCGACAGTTGATTCAGTTCCATGTCAATTTCTCCTCCAATTCCGCAATGTCTGCGTCGTCAGTAAGTAGGGTGAGTGAGAAGTCTCTCTTGTTAAGTTTTATTCGAGGCAAAGTTGCAATATTATTTAATAATTTATGCTGCATATGATGTATAACAGTGATGTGTATAACGCCTTACATTATGTTTCTGTTGTTTGGTGTGTGTTTTCACATTGATTATGCGGGCCTCTTGATTTTCCGGATTATTTAATCAACCGACACACTCCTGGTCCCATCAGTGTGGTCTAATAAAAAGTTTACTGTATCTTAACATATGCTGTTTCGATGCACAAATTGACCAAATGAAGGAGAGAGATGGTATAAGCTCTGAATTCACCATATTCTGCTGGTGCTCTTAGTTTGTCTCACATATACAGTATCTTGTCCTTTGCCTCCCTTTTTCGTTAAAGAGTTACTGGGTGAATACATGGAACTCAACAGCGGACACTGGTATTCAACAATGTAAATACATTTTTAATAATGTTGTATTGCAATATCAGTTGACCCACCAGGGCTGTAATGGAAAATATGTAAACTATTGAGTTTGTTCCTTGCATATAGTAAATTTATCATTAAATATTTATAAAATATCTCTGCTGTTTTTATTAATTCCTGCCTGCATTTTCTTCATTATTTTCTGCATCTGCTTTAGCAGTTTCATTTTGATGCACCTTTCATTATTTTTCCTGTTTCTTTCTCAATCCTTAAATTTAATTAGTTAGGGAAGTATGGTTACCATTAGCCACTAACGTTCAAGAAGTCCTTTTCAGGCTGAAGGTTGGAGGAAAAAGTAGGAATAATTGCAGATGTCGTGAGGTGCTCTGCTCCAGCAAGATTTTTGATTCTGTATGTTTGTTTTTATTGCATTGCATTTGTATCCTGTTGCATCTTTTTGTTTTTATTTATTTTTAACTATAAATAAATTGCATCAAAATGGTTAGCCTAAATGTAATAGCAGGCATGATTTCATTTTCTGAAATAAAGACACTTTCTTGCCAGTTGTTTGAAGTTGATAGTTAAATTCGTGTTTCGCTAATCCATACACACCAGAGAATAATGAACAATTTCAGTTCCCAAGAGATTTCATCTATTCCAGGAGTCAATCAATTGGGAACACACAAATATTGAGGAGAAAGCTTGAGTTGTAGCTACAAACCTTCTCCAACAGGTGTGACTAAATTGCTAGCACAAGTTTTTAATGGAGTTCTGTGTTTTTTGTAAATTCGTCCGTAGGATGTGGGTGTTGCTGGCTGGCCAGCATTTATTGCCTGTCCCTAGTTACCCTTGAGAAGGTGGCGGTGAGCTGCCGTCTTGAACTGTTGCAGTTCATGTACTGTTCGTTGACACACAATGCTGTTGGGGGGGCTGGAGGGAAGGTGTGGGGGGTGTGTTCCAGGATTTTCATCCAGCAACAGTGAAGGAACGGTGATATATTTTCAAGTCAGGATTGTGAGTGGCTTGAAGGCGGTGGTGTCCCCATGTATCTGTTGCCCTTGCCCTTGTCCTTCTGGGTGGAAGTGGTCATGGGTTTGGAAGGTGGTGTCTTAGGACTTTTGGTGAATTCCTGCAGTGCATCCTGTAGATACTACACACTGCTGCTACTGAGCATTGGTGATGGAGGGTGTGGATGTTTGCAGATGTGGCGCCAATTCTTTCATTGGATAAGGCCCCTTCTGTTCCAACAGAAGAGGGGAGGCAATGGCTTTGTGGCATTATTGCTCGACTATTAATACAAAAACACAGTTAATGTTCTGGGTACCGGGTTCGTGTCCCACCATGGCAGATGGCAGCCAGTTTCACTAATGTTCTTCAGGGAAAAAAATCTGCCGTCCTCACATGGTTTGGCCTACATACGACTCCAGACCAACAGCAATGTCGTTGATTCTCAACCACCCTTTGAAATGGCCTAGCAAGCCATTCAGTTGTATCAATTGCTAGGAAGACTCAACAAAGAAATGAAGCTGGATGGACCACCTGGCATTGACCTAGTTACTGAAAACGGCAACAGCAAACATAGCTCTGTCAATGCTACAAAGTCCTCCTAACTAACTAACAACTAGTGTCAAAATTGGGAGAGCTGTCCCACGGACTGGTCAAGCAACAGTCTAACATAGTCATACTCATGGAATCACACCTACAGACAATGTTCTAAACACTGCCATCACTATTCCTGGATATGTCCTGTCACATCTGCAGGACAGACCCAGCAGAGGTGGCAGCACTGTCATATACCAGTAGGAGGGAGTTGCCCACAGAGTTCTTAACGTTGACTGTGGATCTCATGAAAACTCATGATTTCAGGTTCAGCATAGGCAAGGAAATCTGCCGATTTCATGTAGTCCTCCCTTGGCTAATGAATTGGTGCTGCTCCATGTCGAACAACACTTGGAGGAGGCACGGAGGGTGGTGAGAGTGCACTATGCAGTCTTGTTTTAGGATTTCAATATCCACCTTGAAAAGTGGCTTGGCAGCAGTGCTACTGATTTAGAACTTGCAGCTATGACAGCAAACTGGTCAAGACTGGATCTGCAGCAGATGGTGAGAGAAAGATGTAGTTGACTTCGTCCTTGCCAATCTGCTGGCTGCAGATGTATCTGTCCACGATAGAATCAGTAAAAGTGACCACCGCACAGTCGTTGTGTGGATGAAGTCCCACCTTCACATTGAGAATACCTTCCATCCTGTTGAGTGGCGCTATCACTGTGCCAAATAGGACAGAGTTTGAACTGATGTGGCAACTTGACTGAGCATCTGTGAGGCATATTCCTACTCCTCCACTGCCATGAAGCCAAGCAATCACTCATGGCTCAATGGAGAGAGCAGGAGGGGATGCCAGGAACAGCACCTAGCATATCTAAAAATAAGAATCAACCCAGAGAAGCTACCAAACGGGACTACTTGCATGTCAAACAGCATCAACTGCAAGCCATAGACCGATTGTAGCCAAGCTACAAGTTTCAAAATTAACGACTTCCATTTAATGTGGAGATGAGATGTCGTCTTCTCTCGGAGGACCACAAATCTTTGGAATTCTCTACCACAGAGAGCAGTGGAGGCTGGGTCATTAATTATGTTTGAGGCTGAACTGGTTAGATGATTAATCTATAGGGGAATAAAAAGTTATGGGAATCGGGTTCGGCAGAAGAGTCATACCGGAGATGAAACATTAACGTAGTTTCTCTCGCTCCCTCCACAGACGACACCAGACCAACTGAGTTTCTCCATCATTCTGTGTTTGTTTCAGATTTGTACCTATATCATATCAAGTCGTGTTCTAAGAATTATAAAAGTATGGCAATATTAAAGGAACAGTGTGTATACTTTGAACTATGAACAATGGACAAAATTTGAAGCCTTGCTGGTGAGGTTTTAGTTTTGTAGCTGAACGTCATTGGCTCTTGTATAGGGTGTAATTCTGAAAAGCAGATTTGATTGGTTGCATGAGTTCAGTTTAACAGTGCAATCTGTCCCATGCTTTTGTTTTGCAGTCAGCGAAGCTACGGCATCTCCCCACATTCCTCACCATTTCTTTACTGCGTTTCAACTTTGATTTTACCAAGTGTGAACGTTACAAGGAAACAGGTTGTTACTCCTTTCCGATCAGGCTGGATATGCGGCCCTTCTGTGAGCAGGTGGGTCATGGTTTCTGCTTCACTTTTAAAGGTTCAAGATCATCTTGAATGCTGTTGACTCTGCTGATTGCTGCAGTGTTTTTCCATGGATGGTTTAAAAAGTATCTCCTTTCTTTTGCCGAGATAAGTTGAAAGAAAGCATGTATTTCTGACAAAAGATATCATAACCCAAATCCTAATATCCCCTGTGAGGCTCAGTGAATTTATGTAATGAGTAGCGATGAGTACCTCCTCTACCAGTGCACCCCCTGCTCTAGGAGGTTTCGGGGTTGATTGCTGGTCTGTATTGTTAGCTGATTGTAGTTGGAACAGCAATAAGAATCTTGACAGCTGGCCTCACTCTGTGTGGGCATCAGAATCTGGTCCTTTGAGGCTGACATCCAGCTGGAGCACTTGCATGAATAAATAAGCGGTTAGAATTGTTGCTATGATATAAAGACAACCACCATATCTTGACTTTTTTCTCCCTTTTGGAGTAGTAATGTAGCTGAGATATTTAACCACTCTCTTTAATAAATCCCAATTGATCTATTTCATGCAACAGTTTATTTCCAGCTATGTTGTTGCTGAAGAAATATTTTGGTCATAAGTCTTTGCCTTTCATGGTCCACAAGGCAGAGTAATGAGATTAGATGTTGTGAACATGTAGAAAGGTGCAGCTATGTGCTCAGACTGATATAGAAACAAAGGTGTAGCTGCAGATTGAGTCAGAATTGTATTCTGAGGTTTCACTAAGTTTGGTGCAGCCACAGCCTCGGATCAGACTGAAAAACAGAACTTGCTGGAGAAAAAGTTGCTTGACTATGGAATGGCAATTGGGTGCTGATAGCAGCAATGAAGTTTTTTTTAAGGTAAAACGTATTGAGTATTTTCTGTTAAAGCTTTATCAATGTAATGCAACCATTAACAGTGACAGTGGCATCCTGTGCTTCAGCTGTGTTCACATTTTCGAAGTGGCATGATTGCACCACATCCAAAGTTAATTACTTTTCCTATTTATGTTAATCCTGTGATAGAGTTTTCAATAGTCAATGTGAAGTTGCCTAAAAATATCAAGTAGGAGACCAAGACCAGAAGGATGTTAAAGCTGATTTTCTTTAGGCATATTGACTGTTGAGACTTTCACACTGAGCAGCAGATCCATGGCCGTATATATAAACTTCGCAATTAACATAGAAACATCAAAGATAGGAGCGGAGAAGGCCATTCAATGAGCTCACTTGGCTGCTTTGCAATATAGGGCTGGTTTGCAATACAGAGTGATGGCAACAACGTTGGTTTCAATTCCCGCTCTAGCTCAGGTTATCTTAAAAGTCTGTCCTTCTCAATCTCTCCCCTTCCTGAAGGTCTGGTGATCCTCAGGTTGAACCACCACCAGTTGTCTGTCTAATGAGAGAGCAGCCCTATGGTTCTGTAGGACAATGACATCTTTACATTTTACTTTTGGTAGTACTTATACCTTTAGTCAGTATAGTACATGCCACGCTATTTAAATAAATAGGGGCAAGGTAGTTTGTTGTTCTGCACAGCCAGTTTTTGTTCAATGGACCTGCACAGTACTTTTCAGGCTGCTGCCTGGTCTTCTACATGTGCAACTTTGACCAGAACGTCCTTGGGGCTCGATGCTAGTCTGGTCGAAAGTGAAGTTGCAAAAGTTTTTTAAACTGCAAAAACAAGAAAGCTTCTGGAGCAAACGGAATCTCTGAAATTCTGAGATACAGAGGATATGCATGACTAGTACAACTATCCAACCTAATTTCGCTCATCCGTGAAGAAACGCACATACTGTGGGAATCTGAGGTGCTGTATCCAAGAAGGGAGACAGTCCAATTTCAGTAACTACCGAAGAATATTTCTGCTGTTAGTCAGAGGGAAAATTACTGCCACGATCCTCCTCACCTGCTTCTTTGCAGTGGGTAAAGCACTCCTTCTAGAGTTGTACTGTGGTTTTTTGCAAACGAGAAAGACCTCAAATATGATCTTCACTGCATGGCAAATTCAAGAAATGCAAACAACAGCACCTACTGCTGTACATACCACCTTTTTTCAATTTTGTAATGCATTTGAATGTCAACTTGAAAGCCAATAGAATATCCTCCTCTAATTTGGCTGTTTTTATAAACTTGTCACCAATGTCCACTTACTCCTTGATGACATGCAATCTGTCAATCTTGCCACAGAATCACCAACAATCCTTACCTCAGTGGTGTGAAGAATGAGAACCAAACTATTGCAGACAAGAAGCTGTTCAAATTGTGCTGCCTTCACTTAAAAGTTGAAGTCATTCCAACCTTGATCATTGGGTTCCAGCATGTAGATAATGCATGTGCGCACACTCGCTCAGAAACAGATCCACGTCGTTGGTGACACCTTTTTTGCAAGTAAGTAAGAAAATACGTCTTTCACTGAATACTCAGAAAACGAAGATCCTCATCCAACCAACTGCTAGAACAAAACATCTCGATCATTTGATTAAGATAATGTTTTGCCCTGCAAAACTGGACCATTTTCTTTATCATGGGAGCCTCCTCTCGACAAGGGCAGACCTAGACAAGAAAATTCATCATTGTCTCCAATTTTCCAGCTCGCCCTTCAGCCAACTGGGGAAAAGAATACTTGAGGACGAAGATCTCAAACCCAAGACTGAGGTTATATGGCTCACTTGGCCACATGATTTCTGAGCTTCTATATGCTTTGCAGACTTGGATAACCCTATAGCAGGCATCTTAAAACAGTGAAGGCTTATCACGTTCTTTGGATGATCTTCTAAATTGTGTGGCAACAAAGGGATACTATATTCTTGCAAGCCATCATGCCTAGTATTGAGGCAGTAATTACAAAACCAGCTCTTCTAGGCCAGGCATGTTATTCATATGCCTGACCTCATTTGCTGTACTCAAGACTTTTGTGATAGGGGACTCTTAAGAAGATAGCAGAAACACTTCAGAGATGCTTTGAGGATATCTGGAAAGAGGTCAAGCATACTTGCCAGTCATGGGAGTCCCTGACATGTGAATGGCCAAAATGAGGAAATCTAATTCAGAAAGGCTCTGAATACATCATGGGACTTTGTCAGGAATTTGCAGAGACGACATTGAGGCATTGGAGGGAGCACAGAAACCTCCCAAAATCCATCTACCCTACTCTTCATGGACCACTTACTCCATATGTGGCAAAGTGCAGACTGAACCATCATTATCAACAACCTCAGAAACCTTAGACGTGGAGTTGAAGGAAGTTATCCTTGATCCAAGGGACTGCCTAAGAAAGTTTGAGACAAAAATAAATTCTAACTACCCATAACTGATATGTTGACTGAGTCACTTTGAGACATTCTGAGGATGGGAATGAACATAAATAAATGCAAGTTCTTAATTTCTAGAAAGATTTTGACCATACTGCTTGATATGCCATTGGTCACAATAGAAAAAAAGACAATAGGTTTATTTTAAATTAAGGTGTAAAATGATTTGAAGTGTTTGAAGCAGATTTTAATCTATAAACTCTTAAATTTCTTTCCTAATTTTTGCCTCTGCACATTTCCCATCTTTAAGACATTGCTCAAGATTGACCCCTTTGACTTAAACAATTAGTAGCATGTTTTAATATTGCCTGCTGGCATTATTTCTCTGAATTCTGTAAGACATGTTAGGATATGGTACTGCATTAAAGATGCCATATTAATGCACATTGCTATAATAAATAACTTCTTTTGTTGAAAATCTCTTCACCTTCCTTGTTTTGCCTTACAGGATAATCTCCCAGATTCTGAATACGAGTATGATCTCTTTTCTGTAATCATCCACAAAGGAGGTTGTTACGGAGGGCATTACCATGCATACATCAAAGATATTGATCAACTGGGCACTTGGTTCTCTCTAGTGAGTCAATTACTATAAAAACAGTTGTTGTTGCTGTTCACATATTTCATAGTGTTAATGAATGTCTCTAACCTTTTTGCTTAAAATATTTATCCCAAGAAGCCTGTGTCTTCATTTTAGTTGTTTTGACTAAGATTAAAAAATATGTTTCTTGTGACTTATGACATCTCTTGAGTTTGTGGCCATACTGTCATTGTTCTGCCACCCATCAGTCTGGTCTATCCAGCAATTTGTCCGTAACATTCCAGATTATTGTCTCCTAAACATCTGTGATAGTGTTTTACTTCTGGTTGGCTAGAATTTTTAAGTAAAAACATTCCTGTAGGAAGGACAGTTTTGGAAATAAATAAGCCTCAGGTCGGTTGTTAAATGTGATCAAAGTTTTTTAGTTCCTCTTTGTAAAAATTGTCATAAGTTGAACCTGTCTTGCCAATCATTTAGAGGATTGTGGGTCTGTACCTCAGTGCCATTGACCCAGTTTTTTTCTCCCTATTTCTTGATAACCTTATGTAACAAAAATCAATTGATTTTAGCCTTGATAACTTCAGTTGACAAGGGACCCACTGTATTTTGTGAGGCAAGATCCAGAACTGCGCTGCCTTTTGTATGAAAAAGAGCTTCCTGATTTCACTCCTAGAGGACCAAATTCAAATATTAAGATAATTCCCCTTATTCATGATTACTCTGTCAGAATAAATAATTTCTCTATCCCATTATCATGTGAAAATCCCACTATCATTTTAAATTGGATCACCTGTCAACCTTCTAAGCTTTGTTAAATGCCAAGCAAGTTTGGGGGTCTTGTAGTGTGGTGAATTCAAGTCCCTACCCTCTCCAGAGGTGTGTCATTACATCTCCAAACACAGATTACAAAATATCTACAAACAAGTTTCGGCAACAGATCCTCATACATATACTCTTTAAACATGGTGTCGTTCTGGTGATTCGGTATTGTATCTTCTCCAAGACCAGTATTTGTTTTCATAAGATGCTGTGCACAAAACTGAACTCTGCTTCAGATGGGGCCTGACCAAGACTCTGAACAACTGAAGCATCAATTCCTCACTTTTGCATCTAATCTTCTTGAAATAGAGGCCATCATTAGCCTTTTAAATTATTCTTTGCGTTTGTGATCTAGCTTTCAATATCTTTGTAGATGGGCATTTGAATCATTTTGCTTCGCCATAACTCCTAATCTTTCGCCATTCAGGAAATTTTCTAGTTTGATTTCTCAACATCTAAGGTTACCGCATCATGCTCCTGTATTAAACTCTGTTGATCATCATTTCAACTGTACGCATAATCTGTTTATGGTCCTTTGAAAACTTCTTGCTCCAATCTACACAATTTGCTGTACCTATTCACTTAGTGTCATCTACAAACTTAGAGATGCAGCTCCCTATTCCTTCATTTGTCCTTTTAAGTTGTATGATGAAAAGTTGAGACTCTAGCGCTATAGTACCTCAAATGGGGAACACCAGTTCTCTCATCTGCCAATCAGAAACTGTTCCCTTTTATCCTTAACTCTCCTTCTCCTAAATTTCAATCAATTACTGAGTCACATCACAAGGTTACCTTCAATTTCATGCATTTACCTCATTTTTGCTCATTTTATGTGAAGCTTTTTCAAATGTCTTCTGGACACTTATATTGGCAGAATATTTAGTCACTCCCCTATCTACCTTGCTCATGATTACCTCAAAGAAATTTCCAATAATCAGTTGGATGTGACGTAGACTTCACTCATCTATGACACGCTTTGATTAGTTATTACTTGTTGAATTGGTGAGCAAGCCTGGACCTCAACTTAAGCCTGTAAATGAATCAGTTTTGAGTGTGTCACAGTCTTGCTGTGTCTTGCATAGCTTCAATTAATTTTCCCACAACTGACGCTAAACTGACAGGTCCATATTTCTGTTTCCTCCTTCCCATATTCTTTTAAATTAAAGCCTGGCATGTTGAATGTTTTAATCCAAAGGCATAATTTCCGAATCTAGAGAGCTTTGAAAACTTGTGACCAAGTTACCTGCAATGTCCTTATGAGTTTCTTTTTATTCCCTTATTTAAATTTTTTCCCAATAGTTCACACCATGCCCAATTAAAGACCCAGTGATAACTTGTATCTAGAATGTGCTTTTCTTTATAGGATGAGCAGACGGCGGTAGTCAACTCATCAAAAGATTCAACAAATCAAGACAACTTGCTGAAATTGGGGGATCCTGTAGAAGTCTTGAAAGCTATTTTAGTGCAGGTATTGTATTCCATAAGGATATCCTTGTGTTTATATCACAGCTATTCATAGCCTATTGCACTGTGACTCTCTATTAGAAGGCTATTTCAATAATGATCCAAGATGTGAAAATGTGAAAACACATGAGCTCCAAAGTAAAATGTCAGATTTTGTTTGATAATACTCAAGTTAACTATTTTAAAGAAACTATATAAAAGTACGTTGTTGTACATAACTCCTTTAGGCTCCAACCTCTAATCCCAGGCTAAATCGATCAGATAGATTATGTGGGAGCAAATTACTGCAGATGCTGGAATCTGAACTGCAAACAAAAAATGCTAGAGAACACAGCAGATCAGGCAGTATCCGTGGACAGAAAGCAAGCCAATATTTCGGGTCTAGGTGACTCTTCTTCAGAGCTTCATCACACCTTACTTCAGCTTTGATGAAGAGTCATCTAGACTCAATGTTAGATTTTGTGATTGTGCAGTTTATGAAAGCAGTGAGCTTGATTGGTTGAATGGCTTTTTTTTTCATTGTTTTGACTAGTCAATCTCCTGAGATCTTTTTTGCACAAATTGTATGTTGTATAACAGTTCAGTCTCAGTCTGTATTAGGTGCCTCACAAATGCCTTTGTCTTGGAGTTAACTGGTAACTTGAATAATTAAACTGTCATTGATGTTTCTTGCCCTATACCTCAGGTGAGTGACGTGCAGCAGCTTGATAGCTACCTTTCCAACTGGAGTCTTGGTAATTCAGATAGCAAGGACTACTTTGCTGTTGCTGTCATGATGGACTTAACAATGGGCTGAAATGTTTGTTAGTACTTTTAACACATTTGCTGTATTGTATTCCCATCTCTGTTCACATTTAGGTGGGCCCTGATGGTGTACTGGTAGATCAACTGGGTCAAAAATTGCTGGAGAAAGTTGGTGTTGCATGGAACAAAAGATACCGCAAGCAACATGGACCTTTAAGGAAGGTAGGAGACTGCACACTGTGATATTGTTTTTGATGCATGCAGGGAATGTGACCTTTGATGGCTGGATCAGAGTTTATTGCTCATCCCTACTTGAGCTTGCGAAGGTAGTGGTTACCTGCCTTCGTGAACGCATGGAGTCTAATTGGGGTAGGTACACCCACAATGGTGAACGCAAAGGGACAGAGTTCCAGAATTTTGACCCAATAACACTGAAGAAACAGTGATATATTTTCAAGTGAGGATGGAAAGTGTATTGGAGAGGAACTTGCTGGCGGTAGTAATCCCATATATCTGCTGCTTCTGTCATTCTAGATGGTAGTGGTCATACGGTTGAAAGGTGCTATCCAAAGAACCTTGGTGAATTTCTGTAGTGCATCTTGTATATGGTATAGACTGCTGCTAATCAAGATGTTGGTGGAGGGAGCGAATGTTTGTTGATATAGGCCAATCAAACAGGCTACTTTGTGTCAGTTTTCGAGTTTCTTCAGGGTTATTGGACCTGCATGTGTGCAGGCAAGTGGGGAGTATTCCATCACACTCCTGACTTGTGCCTTATTGATGGTGGACAGGCTCTGGGGAGTCAGCAGCTGAGGTATTTGCTGCAGGATTCCTAGCTTATGACCTGCTCTTGTAGCCACTGTATTTATGTAGCTTGTCCAGTTCAGTTTCTGGTCAATAGCAACTCTCAGGATGTTGTTAATGGGGGATTTGGTGATGGTATGCTATTAAATGCTAAAGGGCAATGATTAGATTCTCTCTTGTTGGAGATGGTCATTGCCTGGCACTTGTGTGACAGGTGTGTTATTTGCCACTTGTCAGCTGAGACCTGAAAGCTCTTGCTGCGTTTTATTGTGGCCGTGGACTGCTTCAGTGTTTGAGAAGCTGTGAATGGTGTTGAACATTCTACAATCATCAGTAAACATCCTCTTGATATCAAGGTCAGGCATCGTCTCCTTACCTTTGGAGTTCGCCACTTCTGTGCATGTTTGGACCGTCGGCCGTAATGAGATTAGGAGCTGAGTGGACCTGGCAGAATCCAACCTGAGCATCAGTGAAATGTTATTGTGCTTTAAATGCAGCTTAAATGTAGTTTGTTAGCACTGCTGATGACACTTCCATCACTTGGTTATGATTGTGATTAGACTGATGGAATAGTATTTGACCAGGGTGGATTTATTCTGCCTTTTGTGGACAGGACAAATCCGAGCATTTTACCAAGTTGCTGGGTAGGTGCCAGTGTTGAGGCTGCAATTCAAATTGCAACTGAATTCAAATTCAATTTGCTGTGGTGGTACTATGTTCTCAAAACATTAGCCTGGGTCTTTGGATTACTATTCCAGTGATATTACCACTACAGCACCACCTTTCCCAGATAGGTGTATCAGAACTGTTACTCATCTGGCTCTTCTGCTCAATCTTAATGCTGCTCTGTGGTTGTTCTAAAGTTCTATTGTACTCTTCCCTCTTTCATTTCAGTTTTTGGAGAGTCACCCTGATGTGTTTCTGCTCAAAGCGGATGGAACACGAGTTGCTGTAAAACAGACTGACCATGACTTTTCAGGGCAACAGCCCAACAAATCCAAAATCGAGAAAGCACAGACAGAAAATTGCAAAGCCAGCACTGCGCATGCTGACAAGACAGAAAGACACTCCAAGATACCTACTTCTGAAGTATACTGGTTTGATTTTGATGATACCCAAGTGCGGCCTATCCAAGAGAAAGACATTGAGAAGCAATTTGAGGGCAAGGAGTGTGCCTACATGCTGTTTTATAGAAAATCTCAACTACAGCGACCAGCAGAGGGTATGATAAATCAAAGGTTCAATTAAATTGCAGCAGAATTTGGGGATGGAATGGTATAATAATGGTTGCCAGTCAGTTTCTTCAGGAACTTGGGCTAAAACAATTTTTGACTCTTGTTGCTCCTCTGAAATTGAGCACCGTTCCTACCAAATACTATGTTCCTTAGCTATCAACTCCATTCTTTTCCCTGACAACTGCCTCAGGCTGGACTAGACTGTTGCAGCCTTATTATCATATTTGACCCTGACACAAACTTCCAGGCGCACATCTGTAACATCACTACGTCTGTTTATTTCCATCACTGTAACATTGCCCAACTCTCTTCTTGCCTCAGCTCATCTACTGCTGATCTCTTATTCTTTCATTCCTTTCTTATCTCAATCTTGATTATTTGACCAACCTCCTACTTTCCACTCTGCGGAGACGTGAACCCATCCAAAACCCTGCTGCTCATAATCCTAACTTGACACCGACACAGCTCCGCCCACAGCCGACGCCGACACAGCTCCGCCCACAGCCAGCACCTCCAGAGGAGACAGCAGCACCCAGCCCTGCCGAGTCTTCACCATCCCCCCCAGACCTACCCCTTACTGAGGACGAACGGTCAGTCCTCAGCAAAGGGCTCACCTTTGTCCCCCTCCACCCACAGATCAACGAATACCGCTCACGCTTGGACATAGAGCAGTTTTTCCGCAGCCTCCGCCTCCACGCTTACTTCTTTAACCGTGAACCTAACCCCCCCTCTACTGACCCCTTCTCCCGCTTCCAACACACCCCCTCCTCCTGGACACCACCCCAAGGCCTCCTACCCTCCCTCGACCTCTTCATCTCCAACTGCCGTCGAGACATCAATCGCCTCAACCTCTCCACCTCTCTCACCCACTCCAACCTCTCCCCCGCAGAACGTGCAGCCCTCCGCTCCAATCCCAACTTCACCATAAAACCCGCGGACAAGGGAGGCGCAGTTGTAGTATGGCGCACTGACCTCTACATCGCCGAGGCCGGACGCCAACTCTCCGACACCTCCTCCTACCGCCCCCTTGATCATGACCCCACCCCTGAGCACCAAACCATCATCTCGCAAACCATCCACAACCTCATCACCTCAGGTGACCTCCCACCCACGGCCTCCAACCTCATCGTTCCCCAACCTCGCACTGCCCGCTTCTATCTCCTTCCCAAAATCCACAAACCTGAATGCCCTGGTCGACCCATCGTCTCCGCCTGCTCCTGCCCCACCGAACTGATCTCCAACTATCTAGACTCCATTTTCTCCCCCTTGGTCCAGGAACTCCCTACCTATGTCTGTGACACCACCCATGCCGTCCACCTCCTCCAGAACTTCCAATTCCCCGGTCCCCAACACCTCATCTTCACCATGGACGTCCAGTCCCTCTACACCTGCATTCCCCATGCAGATGGCCTTAAGGCCCTCCGCTTCTTCCTGTCCTGCAGGCCCGACCAGTCCCCCTCCACTGATACCCTCATCCGCTTAGCCGAACTCGTCCTCACACTCAACAACTTCTCTTTCAATTCCTCCCACTTCCTACAGACAAAGGGGGTAGCCATGGGTACCCGCATGGGCCCAAGCTACGCCTGCCTGTTTGTAGGTTACGTGGAACAATCCCTCTTCTGTACCTACACCGGCCCTAAACCCCACCTGTTCCTCCGTTACATTGATGACTGTATCGGCGCCGCCTCGTGCTCCCACGAGGAGCTCGAACAGTTCATACACTTCACTAACACCTTCCACCCCAACCTTAAGTTTACCTGGACCATCTCTAACACCTCTCTCCCCTTCCTGGACCTCTCTGTCTCCATATCGGGCAACCACCTAGAAACCGATATTCATTTCAAGCCCACCGACTCCCACAGCTACCTAGAATACTCCTCCTCCCACCCACCTTCCTGCAAAAATGCTATCCCCTATTCCCAATTCCTTCGCCTCCGCCGCATCTGCTCCCAGGATGAGGCATTCCACTCCCGTACATCTCAGTTGTCCTCGTTTTTCAAGGACCGTAACTTCCCCTCCTCGGTGGTCGAGAACGCCCTCAACCGTGTCTCCCACATCTCCCGCACCTCATCCCTCACACCCCGTCCACGCAATAAAAACCAAAAAAGAATCCCCCTCGTCCTCACGTACCACCCCACCAACCTCCAGATCCAACGCATCATCCTCCGACACTTCCGCCATCTGCAATCCGACCCCACCACCAAAGACATCTTTCCCTCCCCACCCTTATCTGCTTTCCGGAGGGACAACTCTCTCCGTGACTCCCTTGTCCGCTCCACACTCCCCTCCAGCTCCACCACACCCGGCACTTTTCCCTGCAACCGCAGGAAGTGCTACACCTGCCCCCATACCTCCTCCCTCACCCCCATCCCAGGCCCCAAGAAGACTTTCCACATCAAGCAGATGTTCACCTGCACATCTGCCAATGTGGTATACTGCATCCGCTGTACCCGGTGTGGCTTCCTCTACATCGGGGAAACCAAGCGGAGACTCGGGGACCGCTTTGCAGAACACCTACGCTCGGTTCGCAACAAACAACTGCACCTCCCAGTCGCGAACCATTTCAACTCCCCCTCCCATTCCTCAGACGACATGTCCATCCTGGGCCTCCTGCAGTGCCACAACGATGCCACCCGAAGGTTGCAGGAACAGCAACTCATATTCCGCTTGGGAACCCTGCAGCCCAATGGTATCAATGTGGATTTCACAAGTTTCAAAATCTCCCCTCCCCCCACCGCATCCCAAAACCAGTCCAGCTCGTCCCTGCCTCCCTAACCTGTTCTTCCTCCCACCTATCCCCTCCTCCCACCTCAAGCCGCACCTCCATCTCCTACCGACCAACCTCATCCCGCCCCCTTGACCTGTCCGTCCTCCCTGGACTTACCTATCCCCTTCCTAACTCCTTACCTACACTCACCTTTCCTGGCTCCATCCCCGCCTCTTCGACCTGTTTGTTTCCTCTCCACCTATCCTCTCCTCTATCCCTCTTCTATCCGCCTCCCACTCTCTCCCTATTTATTTCAAAACCCCCTTCCCCTCCCCCTTTTCTGATGAAGGGTCTAGGCCCGAAACGTCAGCCTCTCTGCTCCTATGATGCTGCTTGGCCTGCTGTGTTCATCCAGCCCTGCACCTTGTTGTCTTGTATTAAGTCCTGTTAACTTGTCAACCTGAATGGGTTTCTGTGCTTCTCTAATCTTCAGTGATATCTTGCTGTATTTATTTTGTCTAACAATATATGGTTGACTTCCACTCATTAACGTGCTTATACATGATTGATCACAATTCTGCTGTCTGTTGATAGAGAATGTGATCTTTAAGGGGCTAATTATTCATGTAGTGATAGCGCATTTAATGTTTCCAATTAATAATTTGAGCTAAAACTAAAGTGATATGCTGCCACTTTGCACTGCAGCATGCCCAATGTGATTGTCATGAACCTCAAAGTACTAGGAAAGCATTGCCAAATTCACCATTAATTGAACAAAATTGGGACATTGCCAAAGCTTGCATGTTAAAATGAAAATGGGTTCAGGTATATTCTAATAATCATGCAACGTTTTGCTAGAATGGATCCAGCTCATATGTGGAATTTCATAACCGGAGACTAACTTCTATCAATGGACTCTTAAGACATCCAAAGGGGAATTTGGAAGAAACCTGTCTTTACATAACGAAAATGGAACTTGTTACTACAGAGAATGGTTGAAGCAAATATCATCAATGTGTGTAAGGGAAGCTAAACAAGCAAATTGGGGAGAAGGAGAACCTCGGGAAGCAACAAATAAGTCTCAGTGATGGGTTTAGGTTAGAAATAATGGTAGAACATTTTGAGTTGTGCATAAACACCAGTGAGGTTTTGTTTGAGATACATATTCTCTGATGTCCTGTGCAAATCACAAATCTTCAAGGGGGTTGTCATTGAGGTAGACAGCATTGCATCTTTTAAAGAAAGGAACGTTTGAAGCAGAGGTAGGTATGCAGCCATGGGTGTAGTGGAGATGTGAAGTAGTATAATTAATTACTTACAATTGATTTAGCAGAGTTGATCCAGATTGGTGGTTTCTTACATCTCATGCTGATGTAATGTGAGCCATGAAAATTTGTTTTTTGTTCCCCAAGTAAAACATTAAGTTTGTTTAATTTTTACGTGTTCCTATAGCTCGAGGAAACTCAAGGTACAAAGTACCTCCTGACTTGCTGGAAGAGATAGCCAACCTGGATGCCAGCCTTCAAAAACAAAGGTAATCTCTGCAGAAATGTGAATTAGAGTTGTGTTCTAAGAGATCACTGCTTGGAATTGAATTGTAAATTTTTTTAAAAATAATTTTATATTTGAGACTACAAATAAGCAAATGACAAAAATTGAGAAATGAATTCAATAACATGGGGTTTGGCCATAAGGAAGATCTGTAAAGAGCAGCATAGGGAAATATCGGTGAGGGTGCAATCCATGGTCTCACTTGCCAATCACTGCAGTTCTATTCATCGAATGATTACCCACCAAATGTAGGTTTGAATAAGCCTAAATTTCACAGGGACAGAAGAAAATAATTCTGAAATACTGAACAGATTAAAGTCCAAGTTTGGGAAGCAAGTGAATATTTTACTAACCCATTTCATCACCAGTACCTTCCACTGAAGTTTCAAAATTATTAGTGAGGCAAAATGAATTGATCACAAGTGTCCATTAATCATTTGATCTAATTGTGATTTAAAAACCCTTGAAATTAGTAAAACATTTACAGCTCATTCAAAGATACAGCCCGCCATCTCCCTGCCTTTTGATCTAAGCTTAGTGAATGTAACAGTTCATTTGACTTCTACAAAACCAATCTTTCTAGCAGTGAGTGTTATTAGAAAAACATTGATCATGAATCAAAACAGGTGACTTGTAATTGTGCTGTTTCAATTGATTTCAATTGATACAGTTTGATTCCTTGAGCATAAATTATCCTTCAAAAATGTGTTTATTTCTCAATTAAATTTTTCTGACCCGAAACAAAAATTTTTAAATTTTCATCCGTTGTTTTTAATGCATAATTCAGAAAAATAATATCAAGGTCAAAACTACTGAAACATCAAGAAGTTACTGAAATTTGAATAAAACAGAAAATGTTACAAACAGTGAGCAGATCAGGCAGCATCCACTGAGAGTGGATGTTAATGTTTCATTTTAAGAACTGGGATAAGTTAGAAATGTTAGTAATTTAGAATAGGTTTTAAGCAAATAAAAAGAGGGTGGGAAGAGGTTCGGAAAAAGAACAAGTGGTAATGTGTGTTGGTGTGGAGACAGAAGAGATTACATGACAAAAGAGTTAACAATGCAATGTCAAAGGAAGTGGTAATGACAGAATGGTAAACAGGCACTGTTCAGAAACAAGTGTAAAACTAAAATCTGTGAAGCTGACCAAGTGGGGGCAGAAGTTGCACTCTGAAATTTTTAAATTCATTATCGAGTGTGGAAGGCTGTAATGTCTGTAATCAAAAGATGAAGTGCAGCTGAAGGCTGAGGACAAGGAGGAGACTGTGCAAATGGATGGAGAATTCTAATGACAGGAACTGGAAATTTGTAGCCATACTTGTGAACTGAACAGGGATGTTCGTAAAGCGTTCATCCAGTCTATGTTTGATTTTCCCAATGTACTAAATGGTTGAGCTGTTCACCATGTAAATTTATTTAGTCATGAGAAAGCTGTCTTTTTTTTTCTCCCGAAAAAATCTTTTATTCAATATTTGCCACAATATTATTGATTGGGCTTTGGAAAACAGCGATTTTTTTGTTTTTTTATAAAGACATCTTTTAAATTGCCAACTGATTCAGTGCACCAAAGTTTGTAATTTGTTCAGATGGTAACAGATAATTAAACTTCCAACAAATTTTTCTAGCAATAGATTTCAAGTTTATATTTATTATTCCTGAATGCCGCCTTACCATTATGATTTAAAATACCATTTACCAATCGTTTTGGCAATGCAAAATTGCTGGGCAAGATAAATTATATTCCTTGTTATAGCTACTGCCTTAACTTCAGTGATGTGGTCAACGTTTCCTCGGTAATAGAGAGCTGGAAATAGGATGCCAATACTGTGACTTGGAATTTAAAGCACAAAAACAATCTTTGGAGCCAACCTTCTGTGCTGGTGTTTATGCTGTACGTGAGCCTCCTCCCTCCTCTGCATGTAATCCTATCGTTATTTCTTCTTGTTTCTTTTTTTTTCTCCCTCCTGTTTATCTAACTTCTCATTAAATGCATCTGTGCTATTCTCCTCAGCTACTAATGTGACAAGTTCCACATTGTGACCATTGTCTGGGTAAAGAGGTCTCTCTCCTGAATTCCTTGTTAGATTTAGTAGTGACATCCTGATACTTAATGTCTTCTAATTTCTCATGCATGAAAACAAATAGATTTGACTATCTCAATGCACTCTTAGCTGGTCTCCTATTCTATTCCACTATCCACAGATTTGAGGACTTATGCAATGCTGCTGTCTGTATCCTCACTCATATTAAGTCCTGTTCATCTATGAACCCTCTGCCTGCTACACTGGATACAAATTCAAGCTATTGCTTGATCAGAAATTCTCATCTTTGTTTTCAAATGTCTCTATGGTCTTTTCCCTCCCTACTGCTATAATCTTTTCTAGTCTCGAAATCCTGTGTGATGTCTATTCTCATCTACTTCTGTTCTCCTGAGCATACCCGATTTTAATTGCTCCGGTGTTGGTGGTATGTCTTCCATTGTGCCTAAACTGTTGAATTCTATCCCCACACCACTCTGCTTTGCACTTCTCCCTTAGGGCACTTGTTGAATTTTTCTTTTGTATAGAACTTAATAATCATCTGACTTGGTATCTCCTTATGTGGCTTGTGACCTTTTTTGTTTGATAGTGCTCCTCTGAGATGCATTCAGTCACTTTTTATAAATACAAGTTGTTGTTCCCTTTGTCAACCCCACCAAGTTGCTACACTTTTAAAGAACTCTATTACCAACAATGTAACTTAAAGGAAAAGGATGACATGCCTTTCATAAATTTACTCCTCTTTTAAGGTGCAGGCACAATCAAGATGGAACGCAGCTTTTGATTTTTAAGTATGGTCAATCTTAGTAAATTAGGAACTATATCTCCTGCAGTTTTGCTAAATGGCTCAAGAAGTACAAAAGCAAGTGTTTGATTTTGCTTGAGGAAGCTCATACCTTGTGATTCTTACTGCTTGCCTCTTGCTTCGTGGATTCCCTTGCATTTTTAAACATATCATACTGTCTTGGAGTGCTAGAAAATACTTGAATGAGAAAGTAAAACTGTCTTTTTACTATATTAAAACTGGGAAGCCTGAAATTGCACAGGGGATTGATTAAGGCAAAATACCACATATATTGGTAGGAAAGTTACTGTTTGAGGATTTACGTTAAGACTTTTAAATGCAAATTTACTGGCAAAACGAGCATGTTAACAGGTATGCAGTGATGTGAATTTTATTTCTGGCAACTGCAGCTTTGTTCCTACTTACTGCATTCCAGGCTTGAATGGTTGAGTTGAATTCTGTACTAAACAAGTGTACTTATGATTCTGTAATACAACGCAATGTGAGTCATAGCCAGTGTTGGTGAATACTTTTGCTTTGATGCTAAAAGACCATAAGTAAAAGGAGCAGAAGTACATTGTTCAGCTCATTGAGTCTGTTCTATCATTCCAAAAGATCATGGCTGCTCTGCTTACCCTCTGCTTTCCTGCTGATAATCCTTGATTCCCTTACAGATTAAAAGTCTGTCTATCTCAATATACTATTTGACCCAGCCTCTACAGCCAATTGCAGTAAAGAATTTCACAGGTTCACTGCCCTCTGGGAGAAGGGATTATTCCTCAGTGTTATCTTAAATGGGTGACCCCTTATTTTGAGGTTGTGCCCTCTGATCCTGGGCATGGAAGGATTTTCTTATGAGGAGGAGTTCAATGGTTTGGGAGACTCTAGGACCAATCTAGTGAACCTTCTCTGCACTGTGTCTAATCCCAGTAAATCTCTCCTCAGATAAGGGGCCCAAAGCTGTTCACATTATTCCAGCTGTTGTCTGAGCAATGCCTTGTATAATTTTAGCAAGACTTCACTATTTTTACACTCCTGTTCCCTTTGGAATAAAGGCCAACATTTCATTTGCCTTTCCTATTACCTCCTGAACTTGTATACTAACATTAATGCATGAGGACTCCTAAATCCTTCTGTGCTGTAGCTTTCTATAATCTTTCTCCGCTTCATTAATGTTAAACTCACTATTCTTCCTGGCAAGTGCGTAACCTCACATAATCCCACATAATGTTCCACCTGGCAACTTTTTGCCCACTTACTTGACCTGTCTACATCCTGTCTGCAGACTGTTATCTGCTTTAAAAAAAAAACTGAAAGAAGCGTGGATGCTGTAAATCAGGAAAAAAAACAGAAGTTGCTGGAAAGCTCAGCAGGCCTGGCAGCATCTGTGAAGAAAAAATCAGTTAATGTTTCGGTTCCGGTGACCCTTCCTCAGAACTGTTATCTCCTTGCCTTCAAACCCGTTTTTGTCTCATCTGCGAACTTGGCAGCAGTACATTAACTTCTGTCATACAGGCCATTAATATATATTGCGAATAATTGTGACCTCAGCACTGATCCCTGTGGCACACCTCCAGATTGTCATTCTGAAAATGCCCCACCCCCTGCCCATCCCAACTGTCTTCTGTTAGTTAGTGAGTTCACTATCTGTGCTAATATACTAGCCCCAATACTAAAGTAGCTTAATATGTGTTACCTTATTGAACACCAGGGGATGCCCTAGGTGATGGCCTAGTGGTATTATGGCTGGACTGTTAACCAAGAGACCCAGATAACGTTCAGGGAACCCAGGTTCAAATCCCACCATAGCAGATGATGGAATTTGAATTCAATAAAAACATCTAGAATTAAGAATCTAATGATGATCATGAATCCATTGTCGATTGTTGGAAAGACCCATCTGGTTCCCTAATGTTCTCCAGGGAAGGAAGCTGCCTGGTCTGGCCTACAGGTGACTTCAGACCCACAGCAATGTGGTTGACTCTGAACTGCCGTCTGGGCAATTAGGGATGGACAATAAATAATGCCTAGTCAACGATGTCCTCATCCCGTTAATGAGTAAAGGACTCTAAGGACATTGCATCCACAGCTTCCCCTATGTCTATCTTGCTTGTTACTTCCTCAAATAATTCTTCTAAATTTGTTAAGCATGATTTCCCCTTCATAAAACCATGCTGACTCTACTTGATCATATTATGTATTTCTAAATGCTGTGCTATTATATCCAGTCTTTAACATTTTCCCAATGACAGACATTAAGCTAATTGGTCCATAGTTGAATGTGGAGCTAGAGGAACACAGCAGGCCAGGCAGCATCAGAGGAACAGGAAAACTGACATTTTGGGTCAGGACCCTTCTTCAGAAACCTTTCATTTCTGAAGAAGGGTCCCGACCCGAAGCGTCAGTTTGCCAGTTCTTCTGATGCTGCCTGGCCTGCAGTGTTCCTCCAGCTCAACACTTTGCTTTCTCTGACTCCAGCACCTGCAGTTCTTGCTATCTCCTTGGTCCATGGTTAACTAGTTTTGTCTCCTTCCCTTCTTAAATAAAGGTGTTACATTGATATTTTTCCAATCCTTTGGGACTTTTCCAGAATCTAAGGACTCTTGGAAGATTACTATCTGCTTACTGCGTGCACCATCTCAAAACAGAATTGCAAACAGTACTGAACCACAAATTTTACCATGGAATGAGAACTTTACAAAGTGACCTAACAGATGGCACAACAGAAAATGAACTGATAAGAGTTCAAACTGTTTCAGATTTAAGTACATACAGATATTCTGAAGTTACCCTAGAGATTGTGAATAATGCAGCTGGAAGCTCCTCCTAATTCCATTTATGATCTCATTGATGCTTATGATATCTACTAGTGAACTGGCATGCTGCAGTTCTAAAGCCTTCTTTCACTCGATACGCAATTGACAACAAATTTTGTCATATCAATAGACATTTTTGGTTTGCCAAGTAATGCACAGCAACAAACTGCAAACTTGAGCACAGAACATTTGTTTCTTAACAATTATATTAACCCAGAACAGACAAGTTGAAGGACTGTATGTTTGCAGGATTGTAGACTCGTATATATCACAGGAGGAAGCAATTTGGCCCATTGTGCATTTGTCACTTTATCGGTAGAACTATTAAATTAATTCTATTTCCCTGTACTTTCCTTGTAGCTCATAATTTTTCTCTGTCCAGGTAAATATCCAATTCTGTTTTAAACATTACTCTTGACTGTTTTAGTCAGCCTTTCAGACAGAGCATTCTCAATCATCGCGTAAGAAAGGTTTACCCATGTTGCCTCAGATTCTTTTCTCAGTTACCATTAATCAGTGTCCTCTGGTTACCAACTTTTTTTGCCACTGCAAACATTGCCCATTTGCTCTGTCAAAATGATTCACAATTTTGAACATTTCATTCCAATTCCTTAATCTTTTTGCTCTAAGAACAACCTTAGCTTTTGTAATCTCTCTCCATAATTAAAGACTGTCATCCATGATACGGCTTTCCTACAGTATTGTTGTCCAGAATTGAAAACTCTATTCCAGCTGATCCCTAACCTGTTTTACAGAATCTTTCTTGTTTTTGTATTCTGATCCTATTAATAAAGTTTATGATTTCATGGATGTTTTAAAAATGTTTTCCGGTCATCCTCAAACAATTGTGTAGCAGAGTTCTATTTTTTCACGCCCCTTTAAGTTTTTATGATTTAGTTTATATTATCTTTCTTCATTCTTCCTTCTACAGTTATATTTCTGCCATATATCTGTTTTTCCAATCAGTATCCTTCTACTGTCTGTTCCTATCCTCCTTGTTTTTGTTTTACTGCATTTTGTAATTTCACATAATGCTCTGCATATCCAAGTCCAGATCATTCAAATAATGTAGAGAGAACCATAATCCTCTAGAACATCACTGATATGTCCTTCCAGTCTGAAAAGGAGATCTTTATGACTGTTTTGTGCTTCTGTTCCTTAGTCTGTGCTGTTACTGCTTGTTTTATCCCATGTTTCTTGTTTCTACATGTAGAAGTTTGACTGTTTAATTCTGGAACCCTGATTCTAATACAAGTCACATGAGTTGCAATGATCTCATTGGCCGTGCGGCATTCAAATCCTTGCATTAACTGAATTCAGTCTGCTTTCAAGCAAGTCTTAAGGGATGCTGTTTACAATGCAAAATTTCCCTTTTTATCACGACCACTTCATAAAAAAAGACCGACGCACGTTTTTATTGTGGCATTTCAAATCCAGGGCAGAGTTTGATTCTGCAACCAATAACATTGAAGTCCATCTTCACCTGGGTCCTGAGTATAAATTTGAAAACGGCGCCCTACACCCAGCTTCTTCCCAGAAGGACAGCATGCTGACGATAATCATTGATAGGAGGAAAACGGTTGGTGATCTCAGACAGGCTATTTTCCAGGTAAGTGCAGAATATTAGTTAATGACAATGATGTACTAAATCTTCTTGCTAAATTCACATAGAATAATAAAACCGAGAAGGAGGTTGTCCTGCTGTTGTTGCCTGTGTTGATTCTCTGGAAGGGCCATTCGGTTAATCCTTGTCCTCGGGCACTTTCCGCATAACTCTTCAAATTTCTCCTTTTCGTGTTAATAGGGGAAAGTTAGATTGAATCTGGCTTCCACTACTCTTTAAGGAAGCCAACAATTTGCTGCATAATGGAAAACTGCTCTCCTTGATTTTTTTGACAATGATCTTAAATCTTCTGGTTACTGACATTGAAATGTATGTTTTTTTTTAGTTTGAGGGGGCAAATGGGTGTTGAAATCTGTTGAGTGATATTTTTAGATCACTATTTATCACATTTTTGTACTTAAGGAGCTACAGGAGCAAAGACACCTAAGTATATATGCATTGATGATTGAAGGTGGCAAGACAGGTGGAGAGCAGTTAATAAAGCATACAATATCCTAACCTTTATTAATAGTGTACAAGAGCAGAGATATGATATTCCAACTTAAGTTGGAATATTGTGTATCATTCTGAATGCCAAACTGTAGGAAGAATGTGAACACATTGGAGAGAGAGTGCAGAAGTAATTTACAAAAGTGGTTCCTGAGATCAAAAATTTAGTTGTGAAGATAGATTGGAGAAGTTAGGACTGTTCTCCTTGGGGAGAAGAGGCTAAGAGGAAATCAAATAAAACTTCTCAAAATCATGAGTTGGATCTGGTCGATAGGAACAAATTGTTCCCATTTGTAAAAGGATTGAGAACAAGAGATTTTAACATGATTTGCAAATGTTGTAAATGTGATGAGAAAAAACTTGTACACACAACAAATGGTTTGGGTCTGGAATCCGTGGTGGAGGCAGTTTCAGTTGAGGCATTCAGGGGGCATTGGATAATTATTGAATAGAAACAATGTGCAGCAGTATGAGGATAAATGCTCAATGCAGACATGATAGAAACAGAAAATCAGAGCAGGAATAGGCCATTCAGCCCTTCAAGCTTGCTCCACCATTCAACATGATCATAACTGATCATCCATGCAGTACCCTGTTTCTGCTTTCTCCCCATATTCTTTGATTCCATTCACCCTAAGAACTATATCTAACTCCATCTTGAAAGCATTCAATGTTTTGGCCTTGGCCACTTCCTGTGTTAGAGCATTTCACAGGCTGACCACTCTCTGGGTGAGTACGTTTCTCCTCATCTCAGTTCTAATAGCCTACTCCACATCCTTACACTCTGACCCCTGGTTCTGGATACCCCAGTCATCTGGAAGATCCTTCCTGCATTTGCCATGTCTACTCCTGTTAGAATTTTAAGTTAGATTTTCATATGATTTCCCCTCATTCTTCTAAATGCCAGTGAAGGTATCCTGCCATCCCAGGAATCAGTCAGGTAAACCTTTGTTGCACTCCCTCTCTATATCCAGAACATCCTTCTTTAGGTAAGGAGATCAAAACTGCATGCAATATGTCAGGTGACATCTTACCAATCCCCTGCACAATTGCGGCAAGACATCAAGATCTTTTTGCTATGAAAGCCAATATACAATTTGTCAAATTCACTACCTGTTAGACCTCCATGCTTGCTTTTAGTGACTGGTACACAAGGATACCTAGGTCTTTTTGCACCTCCCCTATTCCCAATCTCTCGCCTTTCAGATAATAATCTGCCTTCCTGTTTTTGCTCCAAAGTGGATAATCTTATATTTATTTACATTATACTTCATCTGCCAAAAATGGCCTCTTTCTGCACTGTAATACTTGTGTGACTCTGTAAAAACCTCTCAATACTTTCAGGTTTAGAAGAACAAAGTTAATAAAAGTGCCTGTTCATTATTTCATCATATTTGAACAAGAGGTAATATCAAAACTTCATACAGCTACCATTTCAGAATTTACCAAAACCTTAGTTCTAAAATTGAAATAACATCTTCAGCAATGATGCACGTTGATACAATATCAGATTACATTATTTGCACCATAAAATGCTGTGTTTTGAATAATTTTGCTGTTATTAATAACCAGTTAAATGCTTATAAAACAACGAACTGCAGATGCTGGAAATCTGAAACAAAAATAGGACGTGCTACAGAAACTTAGGTTCAGCAGCTTGTGTGAAGAGAAAGCAGAGGTACTGTTTTGAGTCCAGTGTTATGAAGAATGATCACGGACCCGAAATATTAATTATGTTTTCTGTCCACAGGTCACATTTGTAGCTCTTTAGGCAATGGGATCTTTCATCCTGACCCATATTTATCTCTTAACCAACATGTACTTAAAACAGATTAGTTAGGCATTATCATTCCTGGTTATGGAATCTTCCTTTTTGCTTCAAAATGTGCTTAATTTGGCTCTAAAGTGCTATGGGAGATCTTGAGAAAGGTTTCATATGAGTAAAAGATTTAATTTCCTGTATTTTCTCTCTCCTCTCTCATGTATGCTGTCTATCTTTCTCCCTTCCACCCATATATTTTCTTCAGTTCCTGTGGTGCAGTTGCTCAGCAGCAACAACATCATGATACAGATGAGAGCAATGTGAAACCCCAATATTCTTGTCCACCTCTTTCCTATAGTTTAGTAATGGCATAGGCTTGAACCTGAGGTCAGACAGCCATTCCATTCCTCAAGTCATAAAATTCTGTCATGAATGAATCTTCCTCTTTAGAGTTCTAGCATTACCAGTTGTTACGAGTCAGTCTTGTCGATGAGCACGCCATTTTTTATGCAAGTACATAATTTATTTGTACATAATATGACCACTAATGTCTCATTACAGCTGCTGGAATTTTGGAAGGGTGATATGGTGATCACTGTCGCCAAGCAGTTGCCTGCTGGTCTTCACCTTTACGAGACCTTCCATGGTAAGAAAAAACAAATGGAGAAGCAATTAGTAGGAGTTGAAAAGCATGCCTCACCGACAGCAAATGCATGGCAGCTGCCTTCTATGTTGTTAGAAGTCACATGACACCAGGTTATAGTCCAACAGGTCTATTTGAAATCTCAAGCTTTTGCACTGCTGAATGAAACACATAAGTGCTCTGAAAGCTTGTGATTTCAAATAAACCTGTTGGACTATAACCTGGTGACATCTGACTTCTGACTTTGTTCACGCCAGTCCAACACCAGCACCTCCACATCACTTCTGTATTGTTAGTAGGAAAATTATTTTCTTTGTCTCATACAATGCAATAGACTGTGTGTAATTCACCTTGCCATAATCCTGCTTGAATTTTTTTATACCCTTAGAGAGGCTCTGCAAAAAAAGACACTTCCTATTTTAAGCAATAAACGATTAAAACACCAGAATGTTTGCTTAATCCTGTAAATCTACATTTAATGATTCTTGATTGCGTTTCATTGCATGTTATTTCCATGATCCTTTCATTGTGGTATCAAACATTTGACCATTTCTAGCTATATTTACTCTTAATCTTCAATCCATTCCTGGCTAGACTTTAGTCAGTGCTTTTTGGTTTTAATAGCATGGGTCTTAATTTATTCATTTGAGACATGTTTTCATTTCCAACTTTTTTGTGAGACAAAATTATCCTTCTTAATTATCAATGATTTTTAGTGAAGTAGGCTGTGATGGCAAGACACAAACAATGAAATAATCGGACTAGTTAGTGGAAAGAGTTGTGAATGTGTGGGGTATCTAAGTGAAATTGTAACCATAATTTAGTTTTTCATATAAATATTGTATTTTGATACAATAAAAAGACTACATTAATTATGAAGTTCTTAACATTTTGTATAGCATTCCTGATGAGCATTAAATGTGATGTATTTATGTAATTAGCCATAGTCCCAGGAGAATGATAGGCATCTCTGTCCTTTAGAGAGGGGCAATTGTACGTCACATTTCACATCTAAATGTGAAAAGGTAAGGCGAAAGACTCCATAAACTACCATAGCTGATGCAGGGATTGAACCCACACTGATGGCTTCGTTCTGCACCATGCTGTAGCCATCTAGAGAACTATGCTGGCTGACCACGACAAGCTGTAATTGTGTGGCAAAACCTATAATTTCAATGTTCGCCTTTGCAACATCAATGTTGAACATAATGCGCAATGCCAGGAATTATTCACTATCACAATGTGATGAGTAATAATATGTAATCACAATCCAAGCTACGTATTGATTGCAGTTTCCTCCCTTCTTAACCCAGAGGACCACACCTCTTTATACAGTCTGGGCATCACGGATGGAGCCATTCTCTTTGTATGGAACGGTAACCAGGTAATTAAAAATTAATTTGTTTGTGATTGCTATAGGTTTTTGATTTTTTTGTGATTATTGTATTATGCTTATCAAGGTGTAAGGGTTAATAGTGCTGGGAAGACTTACCCTTTTCTATTTTGGGCACCTTGTTTTAGCATTAATTAGTGCTGAGTCAAGAATAGCTCAGTTAGTTGCTGACTAAAGCATTTTTTTTAACCCCACGAGCCCAACAACATGCCTCAGTGAATTACTTGGTCGTTCACTTTTTTTTTCCCTAAATCATTTATGCAGTGACATCTCTGTGTGAGATTGTCAGTTTACTTCTGAACTTTGGCAAGTTTTGTTCTTTAGCTGAAACTACTCTAACTCATTTCAGAGGGAGTCTTTAAGATTGAGGGAACCTTAATCTCATCAGTCTGGACTGAAAATGAGGTGGGGGGGGGAAAGGGGAGGTAAAGGCTTTAGAAGTCAAACAACAGCATAATTCCATGTTTATGTGCGTGAAAGTCAATATTCCTCTTCTCACTCCCACATATGCATGATCAATTGATAAGAAGGTGCAAATATTTATATCTATTCTGCTTTAGGAACATATAGGATATTGGGAGTAGGCCATTCAGACTATCGACCACCCCCTTAGCCAATTTTTTCTGGTTTTAAAAATTGGCTCCCAGCTTTTTGGGGAGAGCCTTCCAGCTTTACCTCGCCTTTTCATGTGAAGAAGTACATCCTGACATCACCTCTAAGATATAGCTGTGATTTTAAGATTATACCCACTTGTTCCGGTCCCTACCACCAGAAGAAATAAGTTCTCCCTACCTTGTCAATTCTTATTACTTTTTAAAAATATCTTCATTAGATTTTTAGATCCGAATGTATATGTTGTAATGTTTATTCTTGAAAATTATTTTGCTAATTGTTATTTTTCACTGTCCCTGTCTTACTTTATTTTTCCGTAATTATTTTATATTTACTTTGTATACGTTCATAACTTCTTCTGTCTGTCTTTGTGCATGCTCACTATGCATTCTGCACTTGTTCCCTTCTCTCTCCTTTCTATGTACTTTTCTTTCCTTTTCATTTGACAGTTTGCTTGTTTCTGGGACGTGTACATGACTGGCATGACCAGCATGTATTGCCCACCCCTAACTGCCCTCAACAAAGTGGTGGTGAGCTGCGTTTTTGAGCCACAGCAATTCATGTGATTTAGGTACAATCTCAGTGCTGTTTGGAAGAGTCTTCTGAGGATTTAGTCCCATTACAGTGAAGGAACAGTGGTATAGATCCAAGGCAGGATTGTATATAGTTCAGAGAGGAACTTGCTGCAAAAGGTGTTTTCTCATGTGTCTGTTGATCTCGACCTTCTAAAGGTCGAGCTTGTATGTTTGGAAGCAATACTCCCTGTAATTTATTTATCAGTGTGTGTACCTCCAATGTCTGTGTTTAACTTCCAAAGCTGGAAATCAGTGCATCGGCATGCTAATCAGCATGAGTGGAACGTCACAGTAGCTGTGTGTCTGTGCAGCTTAAAAGGAATGGTGCTTGGAAGATGTTGTTATTGGTATCTCGGTGAATTGCTGCTGTGCATCTTTTAAGTGATGCACATTATTGCACAATATAGTAGTGATGGAAGGAGTCAGTGTTTAAGGTGGTGGTAAGATGCCAATCACGTGTGATGTTTGGTGTTGAGTTGTTAGAGCTGCATTCAACCAGCAAGTGAAGAATATTTCATCACACTCTTGTATTTGGTAAACAGGATTTGGCAAATCAGTTGGTGAGTTACTCACCACAAAATTCCAAGCCTTTGACCAGTTCTTGTAGCTACTGTATTCCTTGGTCCACATGGTCACAACCTTGAGGAACTTCTACGGCAGCATCCTCAGGTTGAGTGATTGGCCTCCAACATTACAACTATTTTCTTTTAAAACGGGTACATCTCCAACCAATAGAGATCTTTCTCCTGATTTCCATTGGTTTCAATTTTGCTAGGGCTCTTCGATGCCAAACTTAGTCAAATGCAGCGTCGATGTCTTAGATGGTCATTCTCACCTCACCTGTTGAATTCAGCTCTTTTGTTTGTGTTTGGACAAAGGCTGTAATGAAGTATGCCCTGGGAAAAGCCAAACTAGCATCAATTAGCAGGTACAAATACAGCGAATACCATAGAAACTCTGCAGCCCTGGCAACATCTGTGGCGAGACAATCAGAGTCGATGTTTCAGGTTTGGTATGACTCTTATTATAGTTATAGGGCCATTCAATGTACAAACAAGTCCTTCAGCACACCATGTCTATGCTGACCAACAAACATCAAATTATACTAATTCCATTTACTTGCATTTGGTCCATAGCCTGCTATGCCCCAGCATTTTAAGTACTTATCCAGTTGCTTTTTAAATGTTGTGAGAATATCTGCCTCAACTACCCTCTTGGGCAGCACATTCCATATATCTATGATCTTTTGGATGAAAAAATGTTTGCTCAGTTCTCTTGTAAGATACTGGCTCCTTATCTTGAACTTGTGCCTTTAAACACCTGCTATATTCTCCCCATGTCTGCGTGGGTTTCCAGTGGGTGCTCCAGTTTTCATCCACAGTCCAAATATTTGCAGGTTAGGTGGATTGGCCATGCTAAATTGTCCCTGGATGTGCAGGCTAGGTAGATTAGCCATGGGAAATGCAAGGTTACGGGGATAGAGTGGGATGCTTTTCAGAGGGTTGGTATGGACTTGATGGGCTGAATGCCCTGCTTCCACACTGTGATTGTGATGTGCATGTTCTGTCCTTTAGGATTATTCCTCTTGCTAATTTCAGAGTTTTTAGCAACAGTAGTGGGGGAGAGGCTGTGGAGAAAAGAAACAATTTTCCCTTTCACCACTGAATATGAGTAGAAATAAGAGATCACATAAAAGTCAAAAAGAAAATATCGAATATCTTCCAGGTGCAGTGTTGGGTAAATGCAGAATATAATTTCCTGTAATAGTATCTTGTCACTGTGCGATAGTGATAATTTTTAATCTTTCATTCCAACCAGAAAAAAATTTCCCACAGTGTTTCTTACAGATTGTCTTTGATCTGGAAATGAAAAGCTTAACATTTAGCATTTATCACAATCTCATGACATGCCAAAGTGCTTTACTACCACTGAAGTACTTTAAATATACAATTTGAAGTGTGTACAGCAGAATCCAGTAAACTGCAATGTGATAAATGGCCAGTAATCTTTTTATGGGAATATTATCTGAGGCCTCCCTGTCAGTTCTGACATTGAATTAACCCCCAGCTCTGCTTCAGTTGGGTCTAAGTGACCATTTTCATCCAGATTAGGAGCAAACTAGAGTCTTCGTTTAACGTCTCAGCCAAAGGACAATCCATATTGCAGTGCAGTACCTCTTCACATTTTGTGTACAAATGTCTGATAAGGGCCTGAATCCACAATCTTTAGCTGAGCAAAGATCATGTTCCACAGAATCAAGGCTGACACCTAGAGGACAGTTACTATAATCTGGCCTGTGTCTTCGTAACTATTTCTACAACTGGGTAAATTTAGATATTTGTAGCTCCTCCTGAACCAAACGGCAGTTATAACAGCTTCTAAACTTCAGAATATACTGTCTGGAATGTGACAGCTGCATAACAGGTTCTAGATTTGTGCCAGTGTGCATATTTATGTAGCATCAGAGGAGCAAGAAAGCGGATGTTTCGGGTCGAGAGCCTTCTTCAGAAGGGCCTCGACCCGAAACGTCAGCTTTCCTGCTCCTCTGATGCTGCTTGGCCTGCTGTGTTCATCCAGCTCTACACTGTGTTATCTCAGATTCTCCAGCATTGGCAGTTCCTACTATCTCTGTATATTTATGTAATTGTGTATAGTAATTTGCACATGATTGTACCAAAGCTAAGTAATACTTACTGCAGTGTTTTTCTACCATGCGTATTTCCATTGTTACTTTGTGTTGCACTTTGTTGCTTACCTGTTTGTTTCATTTCTCCTTGTTTAGGTTCCCCAACTCAAGTGGCTCTGTTGCTTGTTTACCTCTGACCTGATGATGAGATTTATTGAGGTTATGGATTTATAAATAAAGCAATTTAGACAAGTGAATATTGAGCAACTTGTTACGTCTGTTGTCAGGTTGATGGAGTGGAGATGCACGCTGGCGAGGAGTTTGAACCCATGCTGCTTAAAATATTGTGTCCTACACTGAGGAGCAAATCAGAAACCGAGATGGTGCAGTTCATCGAGATGGAAAGGGTGTTCACACGAAACACATTGCTGTCTTCTGCACGAGACATTCTAGCTCTGTCAACAGGGATTTCTCCAGATGAGCTGACAGTTTATTACAAGAAGAATTTGGAGAATAAAGGGTCCACAAATTGGGTTGCGTATGATGCTGAGGATGGGCACAAGAGCCTTGCAGATCTAAGGCTGAAGGATGGTGACACTATATTAGTATCAGACCAGAAGTGCTGTAACCTGAGGTGAGAGATTGCTTTATTGTTAATCAAAGACAACTTTTCTTCTGCCTTAAAACTTCATTATTGTCAGATCTATATTTTTTACTCTATGTAGTATTGCTTGGTTCTATATGGGAATGCCAAGGAAAATAAGTGATTAACTCCTAATAACGTTCTGTCTAATTTTACTTACGCTTGCAAGAGATTTTTTTATACATCTAAAAGGTAAGTAAGTGACAGGCAAGAGTAGAGTATGAACCACTGGAAATTGCGACTGGTCACGTGGTAATGGGGAGCAAAGTAATGGACTACACCAGCAGCAAAACAGAACTTTGAGAACCGGGGCAGAGGTGAATGCAGTAGCCATCACTAAGGAGAAGGTGCTGGGGAAGCTGAAGGGCTGAAGATGCATAAATCATGCGCTCCAGATGGACTACGCCCCAGAGTTCTGAAAGAGATAGCTGAGGAGATTGTAGAGGCATTGGTGCTGATCTTTCAACAATCACTGGAGTCAGGGAGGGCCCCAGAGGACTGGAAAATAGCCTGGATAGAGTGGACGTGGAGAAGATGTTCCTCTAGTTGGAGAGACTGAGACCTGAGGACATAGCCTCAGAGTGAAAGGGCGACCTATTAGAACTGAGATGAGGAGGAATTTCTTCAGCCAGAGGATGGTGAATCCGTGGAACTCAATTGCTGCAGGGACAGTGGTGGCCAAGTTATTATGACTGCCTTAAGGACACTCCAATACAATCTTGATTGGTAAGGAGATCAAGGGTTACAGGGAGATGGCAGGAGAATTGGGTTGAGTAACATATTGGCCATGATCAAATGGCATTGCGGACTTGATGAGCTGAATGGCCGAATTCTACTCCTATATTTTACAGTGTTATGTAGACCAGATCATGTAAGGGTGACAGATTTCCTTCACTAAATGGCCTTTAATGAAGTTTTTATGATGACTGACAGTTATACTAGCTTTTTACTTCAAGAATTTTAATTGAATTTATAGTTCATCGTCTGCCATAGTGGGATTTAAACCCATGTGCCCAGAACAGTAGCATAATTCTGCTCCTATGTCTTACGATCTTCTGTCTGATCCAATTGTTTTCAACTGGTAAATAGTTGTCCCACTCCGATAGATCACTCAAGTAGCGCATTGTAATTTTGATGCTGTAAAAGGACTCAGGACCCTGCAATGATGTCACAGTGTTAAATAGCACCATTTGGGTGGAGGTAGATCACAATACATTTGCTGTGATTTCAGCAGTGTAAATTGGAAGTCTCACATGCACATTAACATGAGCACGTGAAGAATGCGACATTGTCCTTACCTAATGTAACTATGAGTTAGGACTTGGTACATCTGTGATAAGCACGTATAGCAGTATTTAGTATTATTATATAATGAATAGTGTTACTTTGAAGTCTAAACCAGAAGACCGTTCCAGCCTCCCTTCCTCCATCCAGATCTCTTGAGGCCTTCCTTTGTCCTCTAACCATTTGCGCTTACTTCGTATCTGTCAATCCCTCCTGAGCCCAGTGGGTCACTTTAGGGGAAATGACTCTCCACTTGCCCCTCCTAATGGCTGTTGCTGGTCCTGGCCCTCGGCAACAATCCTCAGCCCCTGGCCTTTAGCACATAACTCCTAGCTCCTGGATCTTGCCTCCACACTCCTTGGTAGTCCCTTCACTGTCAGCACTTAGCCAGTTCACTCCTCCTTCAGTCACAGGTTCTTTCTCTGCTTCATTTAATGTTGGGTGAGCATATTACCAGCCTGAGATCGAAAGAGTGCTGCACATTATTTTATTCATCTATTCATGAGGGCAACTTTTCTCTGATTTGATTGCCCCTGTGAGTGAACTTTGAGCGATGTGGGAATTTCAAGTAGTTTTGAAGCCTCTCGTATAACAGGATACATTGGATACAGACGGTAGCCAAACTTGAAAGGAATAAAATATTCAGTGCAAATCAAAAGTGTTGCTCAAGATTCTTTAGAAGTTGGATAACTACAGTGGTGGTTTCATAAAATTGTAATTGGTACACAGAAAATAACTGAACGATAACTGATTCTCTTGTGTGTGCATGTCTATAAAATAAGCTTCAATGAGTTTTAATTGCCCCTATTTTTTACCACTCTTAGTGTTCTTTCATCGAATGGTATGCCAATAACTGTAGCTGACCGCAGCTGGCTGCAGGTCAAGAATTACTGTGGTGAGAAATTGTCGCAGACTGCAGGAACAACGGTGACCATTCCAGTCACCATGGAGACTGTAAGTAGCATTCTGTGTACTGATCCAAGCTGCTTCCGTTTAACAGCATTTGTGATAACGAGAACTTAAGAAATTTCCTCAAACGTGTGCCGCACACCAAATTAATGATCACAGCAATTAGAGCAGGGAAAAGAAATGGCACTTTTGGCTCCATAGAGGATGAGTCATTTCGGACTGCTGCCTTGAGAACCATGTCTTTTTAAAAAAGTATTAATTTTTGGTGTTTGGCTGTCGAAACCAGGATCAGCATTTATTCCCCCACTCCTAGTCACATTTGGAAAAAGTGGAGTTGGACTGTCTTCTTGAACCACTGCAGTCCCTATGGTGAATGTGCTCCCTAGGTAGGCAAAAAGATCCAGAATTTTGACCAGTTGCTAATGAAGGAACTGAGAGATATGTCTAAGTCTGGATGCTGTCTCACTTGGTATACCTATTGTTTTTGTCCTTGTTGGTGGCAGATTTGGGGCTGAGAAGATGAAAAGGCAAAACAGACTGAAAAATTCAAATGATTTTTCAGAGATCCAGAAAGCCCTGAAGCCTGTATAGAGTCATTTTCCTTGTTCTTTTAGAATGTGTTCTTTCATGACTGGCCCTATCATAGGGAGGGAGATTCTAATGTCTATACTAGCATAAGAAAATAATGTTTAAATGTAATATGTTGTTGGCATAGCCTGGATCTTGAATTCGTCATATTTCTCCAAAAATGCATTTTTTCTTTTTTAATTCTTACTGTCCAATAATAATAAACACAGAAGGTTTCAACTAATTGGCAAAAGATGTTGGTAAGAGGATGGAGTTCCTCAAGTGTACAAGGACTTCTTTTGACTCAGTGTATCAAAACAAAATAAGAGAGGCCTCACCGCTAGGTCTAGTAGTAGGAGTAAGGCAGAATAGTTAAGAAGAAAAAGTAGGAGATCATCTTGGCAATAGTGAGAATATTAAGGTCTGTTAATAATTGAGAATGACATAAAGATGTAATATACTGGAGTAAAACTGACTTTTGAAGGGGTAGAAAGAGAATTTCAGAAAATAAAGTGAAAATCAATATTTTCAAGCAATGATGTAGAATAGCAATATAAAAACATTTAGAATGGTGTTTGAGATTCCATGACATGAGAACATGAGAAACTAAACACTAGTAAGATACCATAGACGAATAAAGCCATATGGGATTAATAAAGGTAGGCAAGATGCATAGGCCACGTACATGGATAGTAGGGACAATATGAAGCGATCAGGAGAGATGTCTGAGAAACAGGAGGGCAAAGGGAAATTACAAAATTATCAGGGAGCATAAAGCAAAACACAAACATTTTACAGGCACAACAATTAAATTTAAATGAAAGGAAAGTTGAGGTGGCAATAGAGTTATGAATGGTTGGATGGCACAAAATTATGGAGCTTGCAGCAAAATAGCAGAAATATTAACTCATTGTTTTGCTTCAAAATTTACCAAGAAAATACATTAAGTGGACATGAGAGATAGTAGGAACTGCAGATGCTGGAGAATCCGAGACAACAAGGTGCAGAGCTGGGTGAACACAGCAGGCCAAGCAGCATCATAGGAGCAGGAAGGCTGACATTTCGGGCCTAGACCCTTTATCAGAAATGGGGGAGGGGAAGGGGGTTCTGAAATAAATAGGGAGAGAGGGGGAGGCAGACAGAAGATGGATAGAGGAGAAGATAGGTGGAGAGGAAACAGACAGGTCGAAGAGGCGGGGATGGAACCAGTAAAGGTGAGTGTAGGTGGGGAGTTAGGGAGGGGATAGGTCAGTCCAGGGAGGACGGACAGGTCAAGGGGGCGGGATGATTGGAAGATCAGATTAAAGATGTTATCGTTTTGAAACTAAAAAGAAATAATAAACCAGTCAAAGAAATAAACGTCCTTCATCTGGGTAGGCACTGTTACACGTAAGTAATAACTTATTAGAAAAGGGAATAGTGCCAGAGTGCTGACAGAGAATAAATGTCATGCCTATGTTTAAGTGAGGTAGAACATGTCCAGAGAAGAATAGACCTGTCAGCTTAACATTATCTGAAACATACTGGGACCCCAACTAAGATAGAAACTAGTAAAATGCTTCAGAACCAGTTATACAATTCTTTGTAGTGTACTGTTGCATTTCTATGAATATTCAACTAAAGTGTGCAATTAATGCAATATAAAAATATAAAAACCGAAAGAACTACGGATGCTGTAAATCAGAGACAAAATTGGGAATTGCTGGAAAAGCTTAGCAGATTTGGCAGCATCTGTGGGGAGAATCAGAGTTAATGTTTCAGGTTGAGTGACCCTCTGAACTGATGGTAGCTAGGAAAATGTCGGTTTACATGCTGAAGATAGGGTTTGGGTGGGGTTGGGGGATGGGGAAGGAGTAAATGATAGGTGGGGATAGAGCCCAAAGAGAGAGAAGAGCAGTTAGACAGACAAAGGAGTGGATAACGATCTGGCTAGGAGGGTGAATAGCTGTTAACGGGAACTGTTAGTGGCCAACAATGGGTGGTGTGTAATTGCAGACTGTGATACCAAGGCCAGGTAGTGGGGGTTCGGGTAAGCACATGGGAGAGCTCACGCCCTAAAGTTATTGAACTCGACATTGAGTCAGGATGGCTGCAAGGCCCCTAGGTGGAAAATGAGGTGCTGTTCTTCCACATTGCACTGAGCTTCGCTGGAGCTCTGTTTACTCCTTCCTCCTTGCCCTCTCCCCCGACCCTGTCTTCCAGCTACCATCAGTTCTGAGGAAGGGTCGCTTGAACCAAAATGTTAATTCTGATTTCTGCCCACAGGTGTGCCCTTTTCCAGCAATTTCTATTTTTATCAATATAAAAACATGACTATAATACTCCATCCATCCACTTTTGCTTCTGCAGTTCAGAGTGAGAGACTCTTCCAGTATGGGAAAGCAATGAAACAGCTTTCGGCAACGTGCTTATACTGCCATTGACCAAAGTTTTGTCTTTGAATATTGTTCCTCAGTGTTAGTCAGCATTGTCTTTCCTAGGTACCTGCTTTCCAGTATCTGAGTCAAAACTGTGCCTTTCCTGTTTTCACCCAATATGCTGTTTCGAGCAGGGTTCATTAGCCATCTTTTGAAACTGCAAAACATGGTTGATTCTTCCCTTTGTACGTTTGCAAGTGTGGTGTACAAACAGCAGCCGTGACTAAGACACCATACATTGTGCCCAAACCTGCCTTTTAATTATATATGTATAAAACCAGATTTTAATAATGAAGCCATCAATGGTAACTTCATCCAGTTTGCAGTGCATAACTACTCTGAATTAGGGAGGATTTCCTTGTTACTGGTCTGTACATTTAAATAGGTTTGTTTTTGATCTTTAGAAAGAATTGTAATTTGATAGTCTGCTACATGTGCCCAAATAGCTAATTTGCTTGAAGTATATTTTGTTGCAAAGTTACTAATATATTTGTTTTATTTAAAACTATTGTACTAGTAATTCTCATATGAACCATCTCAGTTAGATAAATTTAGTATGCTGTTTCTGAATTAAATATAGTGGCACAAAGCCCTTCATATCCTGCTCTTAAAATTATCCTTTAAATGTGCTTCTTTTGATCAATTTTATTCGCTTGTCCTAATATGACCTTGTGTGATTTGGTGTCACATGTTCACTGAAAACGCTCCCATGAAATGCCTTGGGTTTTACAATTTTGAAGGTACTATGCACTGCAGGCTTTTGTTTTATTCATGTGATTTCTTTGATGATGCTTGTATGAATTTTTTTCAACTTTCCAGTTGATTTCGGAAATCAAAGCGAATGCCATTGAGAAGCTGAAGTTGAAAGACGAACAAGGTAAAATGTGTCTTTTTATAGATAATGGCAATTTTCTTATCACCCCTCACTCTCAGAGAACGTGTTTTACCATTGGAGGCCAGATGAAAATAGTCCTAAATCTTACTTGCATTGATTCCTACTCCTCCAGTCACACCATTAATGTAAATATTGATTCAGGTACCAAAATGGTCAATCGCTTCTCTGTAGCGCTGCTACCAGAAATACTATGTCAGACTTCCTAAATTAACTTGAAATAATCTGTTCATCATGAGCAAAGCTTATTGTGAAAGCAATTAGTGAACTTTGATTTAGACCTAAACTATGGTCTGACATTAAAAATATATCCCCTTAATCCCACACACAGATACATTCATACGACACAAAATAGAGTCTCTGCAGAGATACTGATTTTTGAAACAAAAAGGCAAAAGTAGAAGAAAAAACCCTATGGGTCAAGGATCAGGAAATAAAAGATAAAATGTGTTGTTTTTTTCCTGTCTGCTGAATTTCCTGTTGACAAGGCTTAATTGCTGACAGCCATATGTGACAGATGTCCAGTTCTGATTTAAATCACCTTCGAACATAGAACATAGAACAGTACAGCACAGTACAGGCCCTTCGGCCCACGATGTTGTGCCAAACTTTTACCCTAAACCTAAGGTCTATCTAACCTCCACCCCTACCTTATACTATCATCCATATGCCTATCTAATAGCCGCTTAAATGCCCCTAATGAGGCCGACTCCACTAGCCTCTCCGGCAATGCATTCCACACCCCTACCACTCTCTCTGAGTAAAGAACCTACCTCTGACATCTCCCCTATATCTACCTCCACTCACTTTAAAACTATGCCCCCTCGTAATAGCTACCTCCACCCTAGGAAAAAGTCTCTGGCTGTCCACTCTATCTATACCTCTGATCATTTTGTACACCTTGGGCTTGAGTTGTTGAAAATTAGTCACAGCCCACTACTTCAGGCTTTGCCAGGTTGATAGAAATGCTGTTATTTGACACGTCTATCATATTACCAAGGCTACCTTCTGAAAAACTGACTTTAGGGGAGATACTGCAGTTTCCAGGAAGACTTCCCTACATTCTGATTGTTGGATCTGTAGAACAGATTTCCATTTGCAGATTGTTTCCTGGTCTTCTCTGAGCTAGGTTTTCCATGTAATTAATGAAATAAACCCCGCTTTTTATCTCCTTGAAAACATTGTGTCGTTGCTTCTCCAAATTTGCTGATTTCTAGTGAAAACAGCAGGTGGATTACAGCATGCATTAAATTGTTGGCTTCATTTCCAATAAATCACATGTTACATCCCCTTCAAATTGAGAGCATGTCCAAATAATCCAAAATCTGACTTGAATATAAATGTGTATTCCTAACAGTGCAAATAGTGGAGCTGGATTTATTCATGCCCAAGTACCCATTGAATTATTAACAAGTAATCAGATACCTTAGAAAGTAACAAAGTTGTCCGGTAAATGAAATTCTAATGCTCACTATCACATTATTAAGTATTGTATTGTGTGCTAGTTGATCTGCCTAAACATTCCTCATGTTTAGGTAAATATGTTTTCTTCCTGTCAAAGATCTCTAGAGGCAGACATTTTTGAATGCTTCAGTCTATTTGACTGCAAATGAATCATGACTGATTTTGATTTTGCTTTTCCCAATGTCCATACATTTGTATCTTCAGTTAGAAGAAAGAAGCATCGCCAGATTTTCTTTTGCATAATCAGGGGTATTCCTTAAACTAATGCAACTTCGTGCTAAAATACATGATCAGATCATTAGTGCATTGCTGTTTGTACGATGAATTAACAAATGAATTAGGAGCAGGAGTGTGCCATTTGGCCTCTCAAAGCTGCTGGACCATTCGATGATCACAATTTTTACAGTGCTGAAAGCAGCTATTCGACCCATGGTGACTGCGCAGGCTATTCAGATGAGCATCTAACCTAGTCCTGCCTTCTCTCCATAGCCATGTACATAGTTCCTTTTCAAATAATAACCTAATTCATTTTGAGTGCTCCCTATTACCACACCTCAGGCAGTGGATGCTAGACTCTAACCATTTGCTGTGTGAGAATGATTTTTTTTTTCTCATGTCGTTTCTGCTTCTTTTACTAATTATATTAAATCTGTGCCCTTGCATTCTTGTTTTTTTTCACTAATTGGAATATTTTCTCCCTGTTTACTCTATCCAGACCCCTCATGATTTTGAATACTTCAATCAGATATCCACTCAGCCTTCTCTTCTCCAAGAAGAACAGTCCCAGGCTACATTTATTATTGAAATTCCTCATCCTTAGACCAATTCTTCTGCATTTTCTCCAAAGCTGTCAAATTTTCCTGAAGTGTGGCACCCAAAACTGGGCCGAGTACGCAAGCTGAGGCCAAACAAGTGTCTTATACAAGTTCAACATAGCCTCATTGCTTTTGCACTCTATGTCCCTATTAATAAAGCCCAGGATACTGTCTGCTTTTTAACTGCTGTCTCAACCTCGCTGCCATCTTTAATGACTTATGCACCTTTACACCCAGGACACTCTGCTCCTGCTACCCTTTTATAGTAGTAACCTTTATTTTATATTGTCTCTCTATGTTCTTCCTACCAAAATGCATCACCTTGCGCTTCTCCACATTGAACTTCGTCGATTGAAGTTCTCCACCACCTCCTCACAGTTTACAGAGCTTCCAACTTTTATGTTATCCAGAAAACTTGAAATAGTACCCATGTATGTGGAGGTTTATGTCATTAGTACATATTTCGGAAAACATGGATCTGGCACACGCCCTCTGGGGAACTTTACTGCAAAGCTTCCTGAGCCAAAAACATCCATTATCCATTATCCATTAACCATTATCCTATGCTTCCTGTCACTTGGCCAATTTTGTACCAATGTTGCTACTGTCCCATTTATTCCATGAGCTCAAACTTGCTTCACCAGTCTGTTACGTGTCACAATACCAAATGCCTTCTGAAATTCCATGTCCTTACATCCGCTATCTCATTTTTTTTTTAAAAAAAGCTCCAGCAAGTTAGTTCAACATGATTTTCACTTTAGGAGAGCTGGCATGAATTTTTTAAATTAATCTGTGTTAGTTCATGTGACTATTAATTTTGTCCCAAATTATTACTATTGAAGCTTCCTAACCACCTAAGGTAAACTAACTGGTGTGCAGTTCTGTGGCTTATCCTTTTTTTTTAAATAAGGGCTTAACATTTGCAATTCTGTAGTCTTTTGGTACCACTCCTGAGTCTAAGGAAGTAGACAGTTATTGTTAGTGCCCTTGCAAATTCCATTTTGCTTCCCTCAGTATCCTGGTTACACCTTATCTGATCTTGGTGCCGTGTCTACTTTTGTACAGACAGCCTATCCAATACCATCACCTCATGAATGAATTTTCTCCTCTGACAATGACCTGGTTAGCATCTCTTCAAAAAATAAGCTTGTGATTAATCTGATAGTAGCATCAAATCCACTTCTTTGCCTTTTCCCAGTGTTCATTGGCTCCCTTGTCAGTCAAGAATCTATCAACCTCTGCTTCAGAAATGTTCAATAACTGTGCGTTCACTGTTATCTGCATAAGAGAGTCCCATAGACTCCTTATATCCGTTTCATAACTTCGCAAAAAGGGACCTGGGTGTGTGATAATTGAATGCTGTGTTTCCTACATTAAAAGTGTGACTACTTTTGAGAATGTGGTGTGGTCTGAGCAGCTAAGAGCTTGTGAAAATGAGTGGTTGAGGTGTGAGGTATAAGCTTTAATGTTTCACTAACTGATTGATTGAGTAAAGATTGGCTCCAGTATCTTATCTACTATCCTGCTTTCTGGGCTTTGTGATGAATCCTCCTTTTCATAAGCATATTTGTGCTCGGAAACTAGCCTTCTGTGAATTGTAACATTGTGAGCCCATTCAGTCCCAAGAGTTGTTAGGTGGGCTGCATGTAATTCTGCTCAGCAACAGGGGAGGGGCCACATGCAAGGCTTTTTCAGTAGGTTGCTCAAGATAGCTTAGGGGTCTCTGAAGACGAGGTCAGAGGGGACAGGCAGTAAATCTGTCAGTTAGTTGAAATAGTTGTCGGCTACATGTTCTCTGTGCTACTAATTATAAAGATTTTGTGTAATGATGACTTGGAAATCCTGCAGCAGTTGAGTAGCTCTGTTGAGTGAGAACTCAGGGGAGTCCAAGGAGCTGTGGAAGAAGAGAAGCTCCAGAGCAAGCCATATGCCATTAAAAGTTCACCAAAGCTGAGAGTACAGTTTGAAAAGCTCACAAGCAGTGTTTACTAGATGAAACTGAACAAGATTAGAGCTCAGAAAAACTGTGGAGTTGTACTGACTTGGTGAAACTCACAGTTTGTGCAAAACTAGAGTTGTCGCTGTGAGGGAGCACAGTTTCTGAGTCCGAAGGAGTGTAGACCCAGGAGAGAAAGGTGATCAACCAAAATGGGGAAACCATTGAGGCAACTTGTGATGGAGTGGATATTGAGAGGGAGTTTGAAGGCCAGATCAGCAAAAGTGAGGAATTATGATGGCTTGTGAAGATTAAAGAGATTTGATGAGCTAATGTGCTGTAATATCCTGGGAAATTCTGAAAAGTCCATGCAATCTGACTTGATCACATTTGCTATTCAATGTGTGCTCTGAGTCGTTCAGTCACTGTCGATTACCTATTTGAGCCACATGTTAATTCTCAGTGTTACAATACATGTATGTCTTATATTCTAAGTGTTTTACTGTTCTAATGTAGTAAAGTTTGTTGTTATTTGTTCAAAACAGTGCAGTCTTGTGGCTTTATTCTTTTTGCAAGTCCCCTGGATCCCTCACTTTTAATAGTGTTATTGTTTCCTAGCCAGATTGTAAGATAAATTTGGCTATTTGGGTGTCAGGAATCATAACAGCAATAGCAGATCATAGTTGTACGTTGCTTTGGGTCCTTCTTAAGTTGAAAAGATATGATAGAAATGCAAATTCTTGTTCTTGTTTTCTTGCTGCCATCTATAACTTGGTGCAGAGTAAGAAACTTTGAACCTTTTGATCTGTATGTTTCAGTTCTGCATTCAGCAGTAGAGGCGTAGAGAGATAAATTGAATCTTTTCCAAATAAATTTATTAAAAGGTCAGCTTTTAGTGTGTGTATTGACAACTGCTACATCTTGATCTGTTTAATTTACCCTTCTTTATGTTACAGTAGATGGAACCTGTTTGAGACCAATTGACAGAACTGGAAAACTACTCCCTCCAGGTGGGTGATTACCACATAAATATAGCACTGTGTTAGCAAGCCATTCAGCATTTGACTTTGGGATAGTAGGAACTGCAGATGCTGGAGAATCTGAGATAACAAGGTGTAGAGCTGGATGAACACAGCAGGCCAAGCAGCATCAGAGGAGCAGAAAGCCTTCCTGCTCCTCTGATGCTGCTTGGCCTGCTGTGTTCATTTTTGACTTTGGGCATCTGTTTGGTGCCCTGAATTAGTGCTAGATTCCTCATTAGTGGTGTCATCTCTCTACCAGCACCACTACTGCAGTCCTAGGATATCAGTTTAAATCCTGATGCGTGCATTTTCTTTAATTTTATAGTCTGTGAAGATTTGACTGTGAAGGGCATTGGACTGAAAACAGGAAGCAGTTTAGCACTTTTTCCTGGCCACACTCCAAAAGGTACACAGGTAAGGAGAAAGGTCAGGGCTGTTTTCTGCATGTTTTAGAAGATGCTATTTTATCAATTTACACTGTCATTGTGAAGAGTAGAACATAGAAAATTACAGCGCAGTACAGGCCCTTCGGCCCTCGATGTTGCACCCACCTGTGAAACCAATCTGAAGCCCATCTAACCTACACTATTCCATTATCATCCATATGTTTATCCAATGACCATTTAAATGCCCTTAAAGCTGGCAAGTCTACTACTGTTGCAGGCAGGGCATTCCACGCCCTTATTACTCTCTGAGTAAAGAACCTACCTCTGACATCTGTCCTATATCTATCACCCCTCAATTTAAAGCTATGTCCCCTCGTGCTAGCCATCACCATCCGAGGAAAAAGGCTCTCACTGTCCACCCTATCTAATCCTCTAATCATCTTGTACGTCTCTATTAAGTCACCTGTTAACCTTTTTCTCTCTAACGAAAACAGCCTCAAAACCCTCAGCCTTTCCTCATAAGACCTTCCCTCCATACCAGGCAACATCCTGGTAAATATCCTCTGCATCCTTTCCAATGCTTCCACATCCTTCCTATAATGCAGCGAACAGAACTGTACGCAATACTCCAAGTGCGGCCGCACCAGAGTTTTGTACAGCTGCAATATGACCTCATGGCTCCAAAACTCAATCCCTCTACCAATAAAACCTAACACACCGTATGCCTTCTTAACAACCCTATCAACCTGGGTGGCAACTTTCAGTGATCTATGCACATGGACATCGAGATCTCTCTGCTCATCCACACTACCAAGAATCTTACCATTAGCCCAGTACTCTGTATTCCTGTTACTCCTTCCAAAATGAATCACCTCACTTTTCCACATTAAACTCCATTTGCCACCTCTTAGCCCAGCTCTGCAGCTTATCTATGTCCCTCTGTAACCTGCAACATCCTTCCGCGTTATCCACAACTCCACCGGCTTTAGTGTCATCCGCAAAGTTACTAACCCATCCTTCTATGCCCTCATCCAGGTCATTTATAAAAATGACAAACAGCAGTGGCCCCATAACAGATCCTTGCGGTACACCACTAGTAACTGAACACCAGGATGAGCATTTCCCATCAACCACCACCCTCTGTCTTCTTACAGTTAGCCAATTTCTGATCCAAACCGCTAAATCACCCTCAATCCCATGCCTCCGTATTTTCTGCAATAGCCTACCGTGGGGAACCTTACCAAACGCTTTACTGAAATCCATATACACCACATCAACCGCTTTACCCTCATCCACCTGTTTGGTCACCTTCTCAAAGAACTCAATAAGGTTTGTGAAGCACGATCTACCCTTCACAAAACCGTGTTGACTATCTCTAATCAAATTATTCCTTTCTAGATGATTATAAATCCTATCTCTTATAATCCTTTCCAACACTTTACCCACAACCGAAGTAAGGCTCACTAGTCTATAATTACCAGGGTTGTCTCTACTCCCCTTCTTGAACGAGGGGACAACATTTGCTAGTCTCCAGTCTTCTGGCACTATTCCTGTAGACAATGAAGACATAAAGATCAAAGCCAAAGGCTCTGCAATCTCCTCCCTAGCTTCCCAGAGAATCCTAGGATAAATCCCATCCGGCCCAGGGGACTTATCTATTTTCACACTTTCCAGAATTGCTAACACCTCCTCCTTATGAACCTCAATCCCGTCTAGTCTAATAGCCTGTATCTCAGTGTTCTCCTCGACAACATTGTCTTTTTCCTGTGTGAATACTGACGAAAGATATTCATTTAGCGCCTCTCCTATCTCTTCGGACTCCACGCACAACTTCCCACTACTGTCCTTGACTGGCCCTAATCTTACTCTAGTCATTCTTTTATTCCTGACATACCTATAGAAAGCTTTAGGGTTTTCCTTGAGCCTACCTGCTAAAGACTTGTCATGTCCCCTCCTGGCTCTTCTTAGCTCTCTCTTTAGGTCCTTTCTGGCTAACTTGTAACTCTCAAGCACCCTAACTGAGCCTTCAAGCCTCATCTCTACATAAGCCTCCTTCTTCCTCTTGACAAGAGATTCAACTTCTTTAGTAAACCACGGTTCCCTCACTCGACCGCTTCCTCCCTGCCTGACAGGTACATACTTATCAAGGACACGCAGTAGCTGTTCCTTGAACAAGCTCCACATTTCAATTGTGCCCAGCCCCTGCAGTTTCCTTCTCCATCCTACGCATCCTAAATCTTGCCTAATCGCCTCATAATTGCCTTTCCCCCAGCTATAACTCTTGCCCTGCGGTATATACCTATCCCTTTCTATCGCTAAAGTAAACGTAACCGAATTGTGGTCACTATCACCAAAGTGCTCACCTACCTCCAAATCTAACACCTGGCCTGGTTCATTACCCAGTACCAAATCCAATGTGGCCTCGCCTCTTGTTGGCCTATCTACATACTGTGTCAGGAAACCCTCCTGCACACATTGGACAAAAACTGACCCATCTAAAGTACTCGAACTATAGCGTTTCCAGTCAATACTTGGAAAGTTAAAGTCCCCCATAACAACTACCCTGTTACTTTCGCTCCTATCCAGAATCATCTTTGCAATCCTTTCGTCTACATCTCTGGAACTTTTCGGAGGCCTATAGAAAACTCCCAACAGGGTGACCTCTCCTTTCCTGTTTCTAACCTCAGCCTATACTACCTCAGTAGACGAGTCCTCATCAAAAGTCCTTTCTGCCACCGTAATACTGTCCTTGACTAACAATGCCACACCTCCCCCTCTTTTACCACCTTCCCTGATCTTACTGAAACATTTAAAACCCAGAACCTGCAACAACCATTCCTGTCCCTGCTCTATCCATGTCTCCGAAATGGCCACAACATCGAAGTCCCAGGTACCAACCCATGCTGCAAGTTCACCCAACTTATTCCGGATGCTCCTGGCGTTGAAGTAGACACACTTCAAACCACCTTCCTGCCTGCCGGTACACTCCTGCAACCTTGAAACCTTATTCATGACCTCACTATTCTCAACCTCCTGTACGCTGGAGCTACAATTCAGGTTCCCATTCCCCTGCTGAATTAGTTTAAACCCTCCTGAAGAGCATTAGCAAATTTCCCCCCCCAGGATATTGGTACCCCTCTGGTTCAGGTGTAGACCATCCCGTTTGTAGAGGTCCCACCTACCCCAGAATGTGCCCCAATTATCCAGGTATCTGAATCCCTCCCTCCTGCACCATCCCTGTAGCCATGTGTTCAACTGCCCTCTCTCCCTATTCCTCGCCTCGCTAGCACGTGGCACGAGTAACAAGCCAGAGATAACAACTCTGTTTGTTCTAGCTCTAAGCTTCCACCCTAGCTCCTTGAATTTCTGCCTTACGTCCCCATCCCTTTTCCTACCTATGTCATTGGTGCCTATGTGGACCACGACTTGGGGCTGCTACCCCTCCCCCTTAAGGATCCCGAAAACACGATCCGAGACATCACAGACCCTGGCACCTGAGAGGGGACACACCAACCGCGAGTCTCTCTCGTTCCCACAGAATCTCCTATCTGTCCCCCTAACTATGGAGTCCCTAATGACTAATGCTCTCTTCCTCTCCTCCCTTCCCTTCTGAGCAACAGGGACAGACCCTGTGCCAGAGACCTGTACCCCATGGCTTACCCCTGGTAAGTCGTCCCCCTGCAGCAGTATCCAAAACGGTATACTTGTTATTGAGGGGAACGGCCACAGGGGATCCCTGCACTGTCTGCCTGTTCCCTTTCCGTCCCCTGACTGTAATCCATCTACTTTTCTCCTGTACCTGAGGTGTGACTACCTCCCTGTAACTCCTCTCAATTACCCCCTCAGCCTCCTGAATGATCCAAAGTTCATCCAGCTCCAGCTCCAGCTCCAGTTCCCTAACGCGGTTTCCGAGGAGCTGGAGTTGGGTGCACTTCCCGCAGATGAAGTCAGTGGGGACACGAGTGGTGACCCTTACCTCCCACATTCTACAGGAGGAGGATGCAACTGCCTTAACATCCATTCCCACTGTTCTGAATCCCCAAACAGACTAGAGAAAAAAAACTAGTAACTTTACCAAATCGGCGCTCAGAACCTTTTTGTTTTGGTTAGAAGAGGAGGATGGGTGGGAGACACTACCTAGGTAGTGTTTCGGGTAAAGCAACCACCCAAATATATTACCTCACTTACTCAGCCGTCCCGTGTCCGCTCCTGCTCACCGTGCGCTCTGCCTATTCACGAGGTAAGTTTTTAAAGGATTAACTTACCTTCCTGGCAGCCCCCTGGTCCTCGCTCTCACTGCTGCTGCTGCAAAAATAGAGCCACGCGAGGTAAGACTTTTATAATCGAAAAGCTAACCTTCCCAGGGTGCCCTCGCGCTTCCTCTTGGACTCCTGCCGCTGAAACAACTGAAAAAATTCTTAATTAGGCATCATTTCTTTCTGTTGATCTTGAATTTCATCTGTCAGCATTGTATCTTTGTCCTGACTTATTTATGGCTACATGGTTGTCGAAATACATTTCACCTAGAAGGACAGAAGTGTTCTAAATCCTGAAACAGGTCTAGCAGCATCTTGTTACACGCGCCATAAAAGGCAATGACTTTTAAAAACATAATTGAGCTCATTGAAAAGTTCACACCACAAGATTTCAAGTTTTAAGACTCTTACTGTATCAAACCAATTTAAAACAACATTGACGAACACAATTTTTGTTGGCAACCTATACTTCAACTACAGATAATATCCCCTTGCGACTTCTAATGTGACAGACAGAACCATGTGCCCTCTAAATGAACACTCGCTTCTACTGAAGCGAGTTCAAAGTTCTTCTCTGCTCCCAATGGTCCTCTTCCTTTTTCCTGCCCTGCTTGTTAATTCTAATCTCAGGGCTGACTTCCATGGTGAGGATACCCTGGAGGTTCCTCCCCCTAGCCAAAGCTAGGGCAATTTTCTGGTCTTTAAATAAAGCTTCAGAATCTTAGTCTCTTCTGTCTAGCTCAAGTTCCTTTCTACCTACTGAGTATTGAATAATAAAGACAGAATTGTCTTAGCCCTCCTGTGTTTCTCTATTATGCTGTTCATTCTCTCATGCTCAGACGCCCCCCACCACGCCGTTTTTCTCTCTCTCCTTCCCCCGCTCTCTTCCCCGCTCCCTCCCTCCCTCCCTCCCTCCCTGATTCTTCCAGATTGACCTTACTGCAAGATTGATGGATATCATCACAAATCTGCAATCTAAAATCTCAAGGATTTCTTGTTGACTTCTATTCTTTTTAAGACCCATCACCACAGCTGTGTGAACCACAGTGATGTTTTATCCATGTAGACATGCTAATTGGATATCCTGTAGAACCCTAGCCCCATTTACAATCTTAGAATTAAATAGAGAGCTTAACATATAAGTGTTTGTGGAGTCAGACTTTCCTAATGCCTCTCGTCAGAAGACTTAACAGTTTACCGCCTACAGTCGGCACACATACTACTGACCTTGTCCGCCAATATGAAGGTCTTACATGTTCTACAACTTATATCAATGTGGGCAACCAACATCTAAGCCACTCAGCCTTGTAGTTGAGCTGAATTCAGACAGGTTATATGACCCACTTCATTCCACCAATTTCCTTAAAGAGTCCCAAAACATAGCAATCTCACAATTTATAATGATTTGCATTTTATGGCACAGCAGGTTGGCGCAAAAATGCCATGTATTGTCAGATTTATTTACATCAGATTTTCCAGAATTCTCTTGGACTCTTGACTGTTGATGCAAAGGTGCTTTTGTATAATTTTTAATTGATTTTGTCTTTAATTCCTCTTTTTAGCTGTTCTTGTACTTTTGTGTTGGGGACAATCTTCATATGAGTCCTGAAATGGAAATTGTGGTAGAACAGAGCATCTCGGTCCGAGAGGTAAATTGAGTAGACAGTCGCGACAAGATTTTCAGCAATTTTACTATAATGTTCTTATTTGTCACTAATTTTGCACTATTCTATGAAAAATGGAGCCTGCCTGAAGACTAAATTCTACATTCTGCATTCTTTTGTGAGCATCCCATTTCTGTTGAGATGACAGTGGTGCGCTGTCTTTTTTAAATGGTGTCGTCCATGTCATGCAGGTAGAACAACAGACTGGTTAAATAGGAAATTCTAGGATATTTCCTATACTGTGATATAATTCCAAGTCAGGATTGTTTGAGTTTGGAGCAGAACTTTCAGGTGATGGTGTTCACATATATCTGTTGTCTTTGTTCTGCAAGGCAATAAAGGTCATGGATTTAAAGGTGCAGTGAAAATAGCCAAGGAAAGTTGCCGCAGTGCACCTTGCATATGCGTCAGCAATGAAAGCTTTGAATGCTTAAGATAGTGGACGAAATACCATTTGTGCTGCTTTACCTGTCCTGGATGATGATCAGCTTCTTGAGTTTTGTTGAAGCTGTACTCATTCAAGTGAGTGGGTGTATTTCATTACACTCCTGATTTATGTCTTATAGGATAGTAGGGAAATCAGGAGGCAGGTTACTCGCCACAGAATTCCCAGTTTCTGACTTGCTGTTGTAGCCACAGTATGCCTATGGCTGGTCCAATTCAGTTTTTTGTAGAATTGTAGAACCCCTACAGTGTGGAAACAGGCCTTTCGGTCCAACAAGTCCACACTGACCCTCAGAGCATCCCACCCAGACCCATCCCCTTTCACCTACCTAATCTACGTATCCCGGAGCACTACCAGCAATTTAGCATGGCTAATCCACCCAGCCTGCACATCTTTGGACTGTGGGAGGAAACTGGAGCACCTGGAGGAAACCCATGCAGACATGGTGAGAGTGTGCAAACTCCACACAGTCGCCGAGGGTAGTGTCGAACCTGGGTCCCTGGCACTGTGAGGCAGCAGTGCTAATTCTGCTTCTGTCTCTTTATGTAGGTCAGGCCATGTACGGATGACATATTTCCTACATGCAATATGAGATTTTATTTGAGGTTATTAATAGGTTTTATTGAGCCTTTTATGATAGTTAGACTAGCTTTTTATTATAGAATTTTTATTGATTTTAGATTTCATCATCTATTATGGAGAGATTTGAACCCATGTCCCCAGAACATTATTCAGGTGTTTGAGATTACCAGTTGAGTGACGTTACCGATATGCCACCATTTTCCCAAGATTTATTAGAGTAGTTTTGCTAGGAAAGCTGCCTGTCCTGAAGGATGTTTTCAGTACTACTGCCACTATTGTTACGATGGGGAAATGGCCGAATCCCTCTGATAATTAAACTAAAACACAAGCCCCAATCTGTTATGACCGGAGTAGGGGTTCCCCTATAATACTTATCCCCAAAACACCCAGAGAAGCTCGTCTTTCCCCTCGTAATGTGTTAAGAGTGGTTAAAAGAAAGAAAGAAAATCCTTGATCTCTTTACAAGTAACAAGAAACAATTTATTTCTTTAACCCAGCAATGAACAAATTAACAAACTTACTAACAAATTCCTTACTGACAATTCCCCCTTAAACTACTAACTACTTGCTAACTGGTCTAAATTCTACTGGAATGCTGTTTAAATAAAGACAATTTCCACTAATATAAACCCAATTAGTAAGAAGCAATAAATTATAACTTAATCTCTCCAAGTTCATACAGACTGTCTTCTGGAATATTCTGTTGTCTCCAGTTTCTTCACAAACACCTTTCTCCCGTTAATTCTGCTGTCAGGGATGCTTTATCTCTATAATTTTTTCAATGAGGACTTTGAGCTAAAATACCTTGATACATTTGATTAATTAGATGGCATTTCTCTGTGAGCTGAATGGTGCTAACTCTGGCAGGTGGTGGATGGCAGTCTTTCAGATGGCAGTTGGCGCTCTCTGACTTTCCAAATACTCTCGTCTTATACCCTAATGACATAAACCAATCGTATTATAAGAATTTGATTCAGGTTGTCAACAACATCAGATTTAAATTCAATTGGCTTTCTCTGTCTAGGTGCTTCGTTTAAATTAATTGGCCAAATTCAAACTTAGTGTCTTGGAAAAAGTGTTGCTTGGCTGTCCTAAACAAAATGTTTCCATTCAGGCACTCACTGTGCACCTGCATTTATAAACTTCCAAGCACAGACAAAGCACAAGCTCTGAAAGGGACCATGGCACTCTTTTCCCTGCTATCATTTTACCAACAAATTCTATCTTCCTGTCTTCCAATTCATGAATACTCTACCCAACTTCGGAACACTGCTACTACTGATGATGTCAATAAATGTAGCCTTTGCTGTAACCCTGAGTACTTTCTGCCATTTCTCGACTGTGTGCAGCAAATCAAGTTGGCTGAAGTTTGGCATCTGTAGTGCTAGGGGTCTCAGGAGGAGGCTGAGATGGCTCATCTGCTTGGCATCTCTATCTGAAAATGGCTGCAAAAGCTTCAGTGTTATCTTTTGACCTAATGTATTATGATCCTTGTTGTTGAGGATAGGAAGGTTTGCAAAGATTCCACCTCCCCTTAGCTGTTCAGTTGTCCATAAATGCCTTTCTTGTTTCCAGAATATTAAGAACTTAGCTTAATTATTCCCCTTTATGTTTAATGTAATCTTCTCTGAAGTATTTATTGTTTTCTGTTTGATATTGGAGAATATTGTACAGTACATAATATTTAGGATATAGTACAGATTCCACTATGATACCACATTTATTACATGCAGAGGGTGGTGTGTGTATGGAATGAACTGCCAGAAGTGGTGGTGGTGGAGGCTGGTATAATTACAACATTTAAAAGGCATTTGGATGGGTACATGAATAGGAAGGGGTTAGAGGGATTTGAACCAAATGCTGGCAAATGGAACTAGATCAGTTTAGGAAATCTGGTTGGCGTGGACGAATTTGACCGAAGGGTCTGTTTCTATGCTGTAAAACTCCGACTCCATACCAGGACCTCTGTAGTCTTCTCTTTAGGAAGAGGCAGAGGTTTCTATTGGGAAAAGAAATGTATTTGAAATGAAGTTGCTGTTGAAAAAGTAATAAGCTGTCTGGTGTTTACTCTGGCCAAGCTCAGAATGCCCTGGTATGATGGTTCCCTTTTCTGTGACAGATTTCCAAATAGTGCCAGCTTATGAACAGTTTTATGCTGAGGTCAGTAGCCAAATGACAAGGATTTGAGAATGCCTAACTTATTTCATGTAGGATTGTTGTAGTTAGTGATAGCAGGAAATTTTCATTCCACCAGTCTGTGCTGGGTACTGTAGAGGAATTGTTTAGTTTATTAAACTACTGCATTCTTTAAACATCCATATGAGAGAACCATAGATCGGCACAACACCCTTGAATCCAAATGGCTTGTTTACTTTTCGTTATTGCTTTGATTAATGTGTTTCAGACTGACACCTTCTGACTAATGTCTTACGAAATGGTTGCCCTGTCCTTGCAGTAATTGACACTTAAGTTCTGGACCATCCCATCTTCTACAACGTGTAGCCATTCAAAACTTTGTTGCACCAGATCTCAGCCATTCATCGCATTGTCCTTCCTGATCTTCACAGCTCCTGCTATTCTACTGCTGCACACTTTAAATCCCTAAGCTTAATGATATGTCTTTTGTTCCAGTGCTTGAAGCTGATGTTGGAGAAAGCCGCATTAACAGGTATGTTAGAATATCCTCTTTAGCATGTATATTCACTGCCAAAATAGCAACCTCCAGTAAAGGATTCAGCAAAATTAATGCATTAATGTATTAGTGATGAAGAGTATTTGCAACAGTAAAAGCATAATTTTCTGAAGCGATATCAGGAAGCACACATCCAATGAAAGTTGCCTCTCTCTGGAAGAATTGTCAGTACTATAAAACGTTTACATGGCTGCCTCTGTGTTATGTTAAACTCTTGCTATTTATCCACAGGGGAGTATTGGCACTTGAGGAAAACTGATTGGTGCTATGATGCTGGGGAGGTTTTGAAAGACGAAGTAAGTTAATGAGGTGGAAATTAGCTTTATCACAAATGTACACTAGATAGCCCTTACTCATTTGTCATTGATTGTATTGATAACTGTGCGATCTTCACCCACTATGCAACTGGAGTGAGACCAATTGAATTACATTGCAGTAATCAGTCAAGTTTCAGACAAAATCAAATGTTTGGGTATCTCTGCGTTCTAAATCACACATTAGAATTTAAACTCAGACAGATGTAACTCCAAAAACATGTTTGATACAATATAAAACCTTTGGGACAACCAAACAGTGTCATATTTTGGGACCTGAGTTTACTTGAAAGTTTATATCCTTCATACTTGGCTATGTTGCTCAGCTGGAAATTTAGGGATTCTTCTTTAGGTGGTTGTCGTGTACTGTCAACTGGCAGATTGTATAACTGTGGTAGTTCTAATCGAGGTCTCAGTGCACATGTACTATAGCACAAGAATGTGGTGTTCAGCTTTTTTAAAAAAAATGACAAATTATATAGGCATAATAGATATTTTTGTTTGACATAGAGAATTTTAGTGTTATTACTTGTAAGACTTTAGTGGTTTTAAGATATAGAATTTCAACGTGTACTGTTAGTCTATGGATGATTTATGTAATATTTAACATTCATAGTTGACAAAGACTCCTTTTTGAATAAACAAATGTTTGGAAGGAGGGGACAAAAAGTGATTTACATTGAAGGTCCATCTTCTTTCTTCTATGTTCAGTTTCTTGGGGATAAGGGGTGAGGTTTGAAAGAGGTGAGACTGAGATGAACCTTCAAGTACAAGACCTTTTCATCCTGGTGGACGACTTATGTTGTTAGAAGTATTGTCCACACAGGTGTTTCACAGCCACAGTGTGTATCATCTGCAAGATGCGCTGTGGCACCTCCCAATCCTATTGCTTCGACTGTCTTGAAGAATAAGGGCAAGAGGTGCATGGGAGCACCAACATCTGCAAGAGCCCCCTCTAATTCATACAACTTCCTGACTTGCAATATCACTGTTCCTTCATTGTCAATCAGTCAAAATCCTATAACCCTCTTGCTATTAGCACTGTGGGTGTTTCTTTGCCTCATGGACTGCAGCAGTTTAAGAGTAGAATCAGTATCAGTTCCTCAAGTGCAATTAGGATGGATAATAAAAATGGTTTTTCATCATTGACCGAAGGAATTAAAAGATTCCATTACATCCTTCTACCTGATTTTGGATTTCAAAAAGACTGTACATTATTTTTTAGATAGCTCAGGAAGATGAAAATATGAATCTCTTTCTTTCACATATCTCCCTCCTCAAAAAAAAAATGCTGATGAGGCTGACAGCCAATTGAAAATATTAGAATTGAAGTTGAATTGAAGATAGATTTTTCTTAGGCTTGGATTTTGAGGGTATGGAAGTAAGGCAGATGGATGAAGTCAAGTAGCAGATTTGTGAAGAACTAATAAATGGGGGCACAGGCTTGAGGGGCTGAATAACTGACTTCTGTTCCTATGTAGAAGGTATGGACAGTGTAAATCACAGATTCTATGTTTTTTTGTTCAATAGATTGATTTCAGTTGGGATGGTAGACTTTATTCTTCATGGTCTCAGCTGAAATTCTTTTAATTCCGTGATTATGAATCTAAGTACATGTGAGGGTGATTGTATTTTGTATCATTTTCTAGACACTCTGTCAAATGGCTGAGTAAACTAGTGACTCTAGCACCAGTGACTCTTGCTTAGCGGTACATTCAGTACTTTCAGGATAAGGAATCAGGAGAAAATTGACAGAAGGAGGAGGGAAGCTTAACATTGTACAACTGCTTTTTTTCATGTTGATATTTGTAGGAAGCCACATTGACAGACATGAAGATAACAAATGGAGAGACACTGATCATCATGGAGGGAAGGCTTCCACCAAAGGTAAAACTTTCACTGTATTAGAATCAATCAGAAAAAACGCTCCACAAATTCCACTCCTAATTTTTATGTGAAAAGTAAACTATCTTTTCTGTGTTAGCTCAGTGAAATAAATTGTAAAGCACAAATGGAAACCTTTCAGCCCATCATCCAATGTCTGCCCCTCTGTGAAAAAGACATCCAGTTATTTCCATCTGCTTCCCGAAGGCTGCTTTTTTGAATTTATTTTCCATGAATATATTCCATATATTTAAGTATGTACTGAATGTACTTCCCACCAATTTTTCAGATCGTGCATTTCAGATCATCTCATCTGTGACAGGTTACTTTGCTAATTATATTGAATGTGTTTCCTTTGGTTACTGACATCCCTTATGTGGAAACAGCCTCTCCTTAGTTATTCTTTCAAAGCCTTTCATAATTCTGAATGCTTCTATTAAATCTCCCTTTGACCCTCTTTGTTATAAAGAGAACAACCCCAGATATGCCTGCATCATGCTTATTGCCCAAAAAAGATTTATATCATGAGTGAAACAGCGGATTTCTGCTACATGACTTGGTCTACAGGCAATAGGTTGCTTTCACTGACAGAGCCTGATTGAAAAATAAAAGTCTCTTTTATGTCCTTTTTGTACTTTTTCAGTTTCTTGGTGTATCTCTCACAGGGATTCCTGATGTTACCTGTCTGGCTGTACCAGCCTCCACTGAACTCTGAAAATAGAGGGTGCTTTCAAGAAGAGCAGGAAAACATTGCAACTAAACTCTGTGCTTTAAGTATCGAGTCAACTGCCAGAGGTAGGAAAACCAGATAGACCAAATTGTGGTGTTTTGAAATTGACGGTGGATTGGGATGTAATGTGACTCTGCAACATTCTTAGTAGACTAATTTCTGGAGTTTTTCAGAGTGGTGATGTTATTTGAGAAAACACTGGATTGGATTGTTTCCTTGAATGTACAGCTGTAAAAGGATGTCTTGGTTTGTTTGTGTTGGAATTGTTTCAGCCAGTTGTGTGAAATGTTTTATGAAATATAGATATTCCATATTTAAAGTGGCCTTGTTTCACATTATTTTGCTTTAATGTCAGTGAGTTATAAGTACTGGAAAGTGCAAGATTTATTATAATGTTGGTTACAGCAGTATATTACAGAACCTGACCTGAATGCTACCATTTTGCATGACCTTTCCCTGTCCAACTTGCAGTCTCTCCCAGTGGTGCACAGTGGCCTGTAGCAAGGGACATCCCACTCTCCAGGTCCCAACTTCTTCGCTGAAGCTGCTACCTGCCCATTTACCAATGTAGGAATTAAGCATTTAAAGATTTGTATTTCAATTTAGAGGGTGCAGGAACAACATTTTTTTTCCTGCTAAGGGAGGCCCACACAGAACACAGCTTCGTTTTTAACATTGATTCCTTTGGAATTCTCAACCTTGACTTTGAGTGAGGATACCTTTTGTCCATGACCACTTTTAAAGTGCCTCTGTTTCGAATGAATAGAAAACTTAGTTGCAATTGACAAGGAAAATTATATCTCAGCATTACGTCAAAACAGTTCTGAAGGAATGTCTGGTCTACTTCTGTTTTTATATCCGTAGCTGCATGGTAAAACTATTATTTTCAGATTATTTCCTCTTTTTACAAACATGCAAAGTAGAATCAGATGTAGGCCATTCTGTCCCTTGAGCCTACTCTAGCATTCCATACGATCTTGGCTGATGTGTGTTTTGAATTCTACATTCTCTTGATTCCTTTACCTAACAAGAACTTGTCTGCCTCTGTCTTGAGAATATTCTATGACTTTGCCTCCATCACCTTCTGAGGCAAAAAGTTCCAAAGTCTCCCAGCCTTCTGAGAGATAACATCCTCTTGATCTCTGTCCTACAAAGGTGTTCCCTAAAAATAGTGTTAGAATAGTGTTTCCTAGTTCTGGACTCACCCACAAGAAGAAAAGCCCTTTTTATGTTCACCTTCTAATGACTATTCTTGTACTTCCATCGAGTCTTTTCTAAACTGCAGTGAAAATGTGCTCAGCCAGTCCAACTTGTCTTCATAAGACAACCCACTCATTCCAGGTACCAATCTAGTAAACCAGCTCTGAACTGCATCCAATGCATTTACATTCTTCCTGAAGTAAGGAGACCAGCATACTAACTTAGTGCATTTGAACAGGATTTCTGGCCCTAATAAAGGTAGCAAGTTCAAAGCGAAAGATGCTTAAAGGGAAATGCAGACTCCCTGTACCCCAGTTCAGTTCAGCTAGATCAGCTTTCATGCCCATACAGTTGTTCTTATTTAAATTGAAAGTACTAGTTTTAGACCCACTCTTCAACCTTTCAAACTAGATGTAAATTTTAGTCAGCCATCCAAGGATGGTTTTACGCTGAGGTGATTAGTTAATCCAACCCCATGATATAATAACAGAGTGTAGTATAACTTGCTCCCTGGTAGGTTCCAGAATGTGGTACTCTGAGAAACTATCTCAAAAGTGTTCTATAAACACCTCATCGAGGCTGACGTTATCAGTGTGATTTTTCTCATCTGTTATCTTGGTCACACGTAATCGTCCATTCGGTGTATTTTTAGATTTTTTTTTCCTTTCCTTTCCTTTCCTGCCATTTTCTGACCTTAATTTCTCATTACTATTGTATTCTTCTGCTTTGATTTAGTACATCTACCGAAGCTTGATCCCTCATCTCTATTTTTTTAGTGTAAAGCACTGTCTACTTCCATTATTATATGTTTGCTAAAGCACTTGACCCAATAGTACAGGCCCTACTTTCTCTAGCACTGATGCTAGTACCCTGCAAACAGGAACCTACTTCATCCACAACAGTCTTTGAGCCATGTATTAATTTCACTAAATGTATGTCTGTTCTGCCAGTTGACTCATGGCTTAAGTAATAATCAGGAGATTACCCTTGAAGTTCTGCTCTTCAGTTTGCCTAGTTCCTGTACTGTCTAAGCAGAACTTTGTTCCAACCTATGATCGCAAAGACATCCTGAACCAAAATGCTCTGGTCTGTCCACTCATGCTCCCCTACAGACCTTGCTTTTGTCCACACAGGCAAGCATTGTGATCTTCTTAAATCACTGCAAAGGCTGAAGCTTCTCTACTACAGTATTGTCCGACACCTTTTCTCCTCATTTATGGTCTTAACTGCACATGGATCTGGACTTTGCTATTCTAAGGGATGCAACACTTTCTGGAGCTAGTATCCAGAAATCTCTTCTCCCTCCTTGATACATTGCAATGTCTTCAACTTAGCCTCCAAATCCGTAAATCTGAGTTGGAGTTTCTGTAGTTACAGACGTTTGCTACAGATGTGATTGCACAAGACCAGTTTTGGGTCCTGAAGCTCCCACATTTTGGACCTTTGACACATTGTCTGTCTCCCCATTATGTGTTTGTTAAATATAATTTGTTAATTTAATCAGTCATGTAAAATTAATTGTTATTCTTTACCACAATTTTACTGTATCTATTAAATGTTGATTTTTTTTCTCTCTCTCTGCATGTTCTTGTATTTGACTTGTCTGCATGTCATGCACAACTCCAAAAGCCCTCAATGATCAATTATTAAATCACTAGAAATTACAGGTTGGCTGATGGACTAGATCATGACCTTCACATTGGCCTCTTCGTAATGAGAGGACTGAGATCTGCAAAGTCCTCTATCCTAGTTGAATCCCTGTTTATAATATGCCAAAAGCTGCCCCTTTACCATACTCGACCAAATCGAAGAAGCATCTCTCTCTGGCAGCCATTCTTATCACTTACATTATCTAGATCCTTAATTACTAAAAATCATGACTCAAAAATCAGTATGAAGGACATTCACTTAATCATTTCCAATTTTGTTATGTGTTCGTACAGACCTGTCCAGTGACAGCACTTTATGAGAGCCAGTATTTATGGGCAGAAAAAGCACTGTGTTCAGATCTTGCCAGTTGGACAATTTGGATGTATCCAGAATGTTGAACTGCAGATGCCATAACTATTTCGTTCATGTATAGACACAGGATGGCTCAAGCATTATAGTGCCAACTTTTGGGATTTTCCAAATCCTAATATTGAGTAGGCATCGTTGCTTAGGCCAGCATTTATTATCCATCCATAGGTGCCCTGAGAAAGGTGGTGTTGAGCTGCCTTGGGTCACTGTAGTCCTTGAAATATAGGATATCCAAGATGTTTTTGGGAAGGGAATTGCAGGTTTTGACCCAGCGACAGTGAAGAAACGGCAGTATTCAAGACAGGATGATGTGTATCTTGGAGGGGAACTTGCAGATGATGGTGTTCCCATGTGCTTGGCATGGGCTCCCATTCCGTGCTGTTGGCCTGCTACATGGTAGTGATCATGGGTTTAGAAGGTACAGTGGCAGGAGACTTGTTGAATTGCTGCAGAATGGATGGTACAAACAATTGACACTGTACGTCGATGGTGAGTAGATGAGGTGGTCAGCCGAGGAGTCTGCTTTGTCTAAGGTGGTGTCGAGGTTCTAGGGTGCTGTTGGAATTGTACCCATCCAGGCAAGTGGTGAGTATTGTATCACACTCTTGACTTGTGCCCAGTAGATGGTGGAAAGGCTTTGGGGAGACATTACTTACTGCAGAATTCCTAGCTTCTGACCTGCTCTTGTCCACCAGAAAGTTACTGGTCAGTGGTAACCCCCAGAATGTTGGTAACATGGGATTCAGTAATGGTAGTGCCATTGAGCATCACAGGGTGATGGTTAGACTTCCTTTTGTTGAAGATGATCTTTGCCTGTGTGAATGTTATTTGCTGTTGATCTGTTGGAGATTCTACAGTATACAAGTAGTAATTATGATATATGCGTGAAACTCTTGTATTGCAGATTTTTCATTGCAGCAGTATATGGGGACTGAACTGGAGTGCATTGGCAATGTTGAGATATCTGGGGAAGCTAGTCTAGAGGACTTAAAAACTCAGGTAGGCCAACACATTGTTATATTTCTTTTTGATTTTCCTGTATACTGGTTGAAAATCTGTGTGGTATATATAGCTTGTAGAGCTATGAATTTTCTTCAGTAAGTTGTGTTTTTTTTAAATTTACAGTTGGAACAGGGGCATCACTGGCAAGGTTCTGAAGAAGAGTCATGCTGAATTTAATGTTAACTTTAATGTTTCTGTGTCCAGAGAATTGTTGAGTTTCTCCAACTTTCTGTTTGTTCAGATTTCCATTATCTACAGTATTATCTACAGTACTTTGGTTTTATTCCATTTTTCTGAGTTGTGATCAGGACGCCAATTCCCCCCACACATCCACGACGAGGGGCAGCACGATGGCTAAGTGATTAGCACTGCTGCCTCACAGCACCAGGGACCCGGGTTCAGTTCCACCCTTGGCGACTGTCCATGTGGAGTTTGCATGTTATCCCTGTGTCTGCATGAGTTTCTTCTGGGTGCTTCAGTTCCTCCCACAGACCAAAGATGTACAGGTTAGCAAGATTATCCATGCCAAATTGCCCATAGTGTCCAGGATGTGCAGTTTGGTGGATTGACCATGGTAAATTGCCCATTGTGTCTGGGGATGTGCTGTTTAGGTGGATTGGCCATGGGGAATGCAGGGTTACAGGAGTAGAGTAAGGGGTGGGTTTAGGTGGGATGCTCTTTGGAGGATTGATTTGGGCTTGATGGGGCTGAATAGCCTGCTTCCACACTGTACAGATTCTATGAAGATAATCTTGAGATGACTATCAGTACTGACCCATAACAGTTTGTTTAATTGCCAGCTCATCCATCACTGTAAACATCAATCAATCAATCCAGTTTTTATTAAAAGATGAACAACAACAATTTATCCAGGCTTCTACAATATCACCTATAAGAAATTTGAAATTTGTGCACATGGTTCAGTGGTTTGAAACTAACTCCATATTGTGGGTAACAGTTAAAATCTATCAAATCATAAGTGAAAGCTAATGCATTACAGTATTAGAGCAGCAGGTTATAAGTAACAATTGAGAATGTTATTAATTATTGTTCTTTGGATGGAAGGTATGACTCATTTCTCATTCCCTGTTCTCTTAATACTTGTCTGTACCTGGATAGGTGCCCATGCTGGCACCTCTTCACTGTTGCGGCTCTAATGTTCTAGGAAGTACTCCAAAAACCAGAGTAGAAGATCCATCACTTTTGCATCTTCTGTATTCCAGTCTACCCTATAGTTGGCTTGACAACCTCTGAATCCAAGCACAGGCTCTAGGCCTCCATTATCTGATTTTTAGCTTCAGCCCATGCATTTTCTGCTTCATAGTGATGACATAACACAGGACATTAAGATCAATGAGTCCCAATTAATTAAAATCTTGTTTTGAACACAATTTTCCTAATTCTGACAGAGTAATCAAACCAATCCAAATTAGTGAACACTATAAATTGGCAATAATTAAGATTAAACTATGGAAAAGCAAAAGCTTTATGCAGAAAATCAATAAAAGGGTTTAGTAGCCGGTTATGTTTTAATGAATAACAAAAGTTTGAACATTACTAAAAAGGCAGAGATGAAATAAAAACTATTGAAGGTTTTTGTTCAGTACTGTCCATTTTGTAGCATGTTTTTTGCAATAACAAGGCCACTTGTAACTCGGTTTAGTCAGCAGAAAGTCAAAGGCATTACACTTATTCAGAACTAAGCTTTTGGAAACGAAAACTAAGGTCACCTAATTCTTGCAATGCCCACATTCCTCAAAATACCCTCAAAAGACTACATTATTACATTGCTGCCTTAAGTGCAAATTTGTTGTATGATTCAGTACAACACTAGTACAAAAAATTACATTTGCACACACCTATATATCAGTGATCCATTATCATGTCACACATGATATCTGATAACAAACCATTCTTAGACTAATCTTATCAAAAGATCAGGACTGGTAGATTGGGAGAGTATCTGGATCTTGCTCATCTTCCTTCATAGTCCCAATGTCTTAGCTAGTGCTTAGGCATTCTCTTTTAAAAAGGTCATAACTAAAAGCATAAAAATCATTGAGAACACTAGCAAGAAGTGTACTTCTGACTTATTCTAGTCCAAATTAGGAAAGCATATCAACACCAAATTGCTGTCTTTTAGTGTACGTTGCAAAAACAACTTATTCCAAGTCAACCATGAAAGCAATTTTATAAAAATTCCCATTTAGTGGTGTGATTTTTGTGGTTCTGTCTTCCATCTTCGATGACTTTCCCTCACTCTATTAAAAACCTCTTATTAATGACCATTCTATCTTAATGAGCCCTGTTGTTTTAATGTTAGAAAACATAGATTAAACATTCCTATGTGATCGCAGCATCACATTTTGTTTGTGATAGATCATTCATTTCCCCAAATAGCCAAATATATTGAGTCACTTTATCACTTCAAAATTATGCAAGATCCAAAAAGCAGCATTATTTGAGTAACTAGTTTTGTCAAGATTGAATTTTATTTTCTCCCTTGATGCACAGCAATAAGCAAGATGATCTGGACTGCATTTCCCAGTTTCTTTTAATGAGAATGTGATTACCCTTTCTCAATAACTCATGAATTAATCATTAGAAGTTTTAGTTTCAAAACAAAAAACGGCCATGCTTGGTGATTTATCAGCCTCTACTCAAACTCTTTCTTAAAGTAACGATGAGCCTGAATGTATTAAGGTTAAGTGTTTTGAAAGATGAGCCTGTAATGCAAATTGTCACCATGCTTTGACATATGGGGTTTTTAGCTGTTGAAGGTGAAATCCTGCTGCTGAGGCCAAAATAGTCAGTCTGAGGTGTGGCAGCTCAGTAGCACAACGCTAGCAGTGACCATTGTGAAGGCTGCAACTTCAGGGAGAGGGTGCTTCAGTGGCCAGATGCCTGGAAGGTGGGTAAGTGAGGTTGGAGATACTGGTGCCAGGCAGGCAAGCCAGAGTTGGGGAAGCACTGAGTGCCAGTGGCATGAAGTGTCTGTAAGCTACCCCTCTCACCAAGCAGATTTCTCCTGGCAGTCTCCCCAGTCGACACATGATCCTACTGATACAGGCAAAATGCACTTGGAGCTGGCAAGTGACCTTTTAATTAATGACTTAATTGGCTTATTTTGCCTCCTGGGGCAGTGTCTGAGCCAGCCAGTTCCCATCACTGGTAAATGGTATGGTGGTGAGAAGACAACATGCACAGCCCTTTCCTGACCCCTCTGCACCATTTTGTAAATTTTACTGGCTCCAAGTCTGTCGCCAGTGAGCTTGGAAATTTCCGGCCATTATGTCTTCTAGCACTGTAGAATTCTTTAAACTGGTGGATTAAACTGAGGCCTAGAAAGCTATGGTCACCAATTCAAAATAAAAGCCACTAAAGCCTCAGAGTTTGATTTATCAAATTAGAATTTTCTGATCAGTTTAGAAACTTAAAAATTTAACAATGTGCCATTTATAAATTTACTTCGAACAATAAAACCGTTCATCCTTGGTAAGTAGAAAACAGGGATCAGTGGAAAATGCTAAGTTTCGAATCAAATGCAATTTTACTTTGTTTTCTGAGTATACCTTTGAAATACCTTTGTAAACTTGCAGAATTCTTTTAACTTTAGAAATTGAGAATCTGTTAAAACATCAGAAACAATTAGTACCTAATTAACTTTAAAAATGTTCTTTTTGGAATCATAGCATTTTAGATTAAGCTGAATTTTTTTGACCTTTTAGCTTTTCTTTGAGTTTCCAAATTCAAAATATCCCACTACAGTAAAATGTTTAATTTAGCAGAATCACCCAAAAGTCGTAACATTTCCATTCAAAGCACTCGCTATTCTAATTTAAATGTTTAACTTGGTTTGCTTACTAACCAGCCTGTCATACAGGATAAATATTTTCCCTTTGCATTGGTATTTCTTCTGAACGGCCCTGTTTGGTTTAAGACTAAAAGCTTAGACACATGTGTTTTTCAGAAATACTCAAGTTTGGATATAACTAACAAAACATACATGGAGCAGTAAAACAAAACAGCTCGTGTTCATAAAAAAATCCCAGTAAATTATGTTGTCATTTTCCTTTTACAGCGGACTTTCCAAATGAATGTAAACATTTGATTGTAACTAAAGGTAATGTTGTTCTAATTTTTAAACAAAATCTACAACATTCTTGCACCAAAAGATGAACAAAAGCTGAAATTCCCACAGCGCGAGGATTCTGAAACATTCATGTAGGATTTTTAAAAGAATGTAGTTTCAGAAGATAAGGAACTGCAACTTACATTATTAGAAACAAGACATAATCTTTCCCTTTCTGTTCCTTAATTTGAACAATCTGTCAATGAATAAAATGTCATTGTGGATCACCATAGTCAAGTTCGCCCTCACCCTATTGACATCATTCACCTTGGTTAAGATCCTTCACCATTCCACTCAGCAGACAACATATTTGGGAACTCGCCCAGCTATGTCCTTTCCTTTGTGCCTGTCTGAGAATGGAATTTCTTGTTATCAACGAGTCATAGAGATGTACAGCATGGACTATTCATCCATGCCAACCAGATATTCTAAATAAATCTAGTCTCATTTGCCAGCATTTGGCCCATATCCCTCTAAACCCTTCCTATTCATATCGCCATCCAGATGCCTTTCAAATGTTGTAAATCTTCCAGCATGCACCACTTCCTCTGGCAGCTCTCTACATATACGGACCACCCTCTGGGTGAAAAAGCTGCCCCTTAAGTCCCTTTTTAATCTTTCCCCTCCCACCTTAAACCAAGTCCAGTAGTTTTGGACTCCCCTACCCTGGGAAAATACCTTGACTATTCACCCTATCCAGGCCCCTCATGATTTTATAAACTTCTATAAATTCACCTCTCAACCTCTGATGCTCCAGGGAAAATAACCCCAGCCTATTAAGCCTTTCCCTAGAGTTCAAACCCTCCAACCCTGGCAATGTCCTTGTAAATCTTTTCTGCATCCTTTTAAGTTTAACAACATCTTTCCCATAGCAGCGAGACCAGAATTGAACGCAGCATTCCAGAAGTGGCCTAACCAATGTCATGTACAGCCACAACATGACCTCCCAATTCCTAGACTCAATGCACTGACCAATAAAGGCAAACACACCACACGCTGCCTTCACCATCCTATCTACCTGCGACTGCACTTTTAGGGAACTATGAACCTGCACTTCAAGCTTTCTTTGTTTGGCCCCAGGACCTTACCATTAAGTGTATAAGTCTTGCCCTGATTTGCTGTACCAAAATGTAGCACCTCACATTTATCTAGATTAAACTCCAACTATTTGTCCTCAGCCCATCAGCTCATCTGATCAAGGTCCCTTGTATTCTGAGGTAACTTGCTTCGCTGTCCACTACACCTCCAATTTTGGTGTCATTAACCATATCTGCTATATGCACATCCATATCATTTAAATAAATGACAAAAAGCAGTTGCCCCAGCACTAATCCTTACAGTATACTGCTGGTCACAGGCCTCCAGCTCGAAAAGCAACCCTGAACCACTGTTCCTCTGTCACCCACCTTTGAGCCAATTTGTATCCAAATAGCTAGTTCTCCTTTCGCCTACTTTTCTGTTCTTCCACTGTAAGCTTTTCCGTCTGGTTGCTCTTAGAATTCCATGATCCTCAGATTTCATATTATTTTTAGCTGCTGTTTCACAGAACTGTTGTTAAGCAGAAAAACTCTTCCCAGTCCTAACTCCCACAGACCTGATCCCTTCTTAGAAAAAGGACTTCTCCATGCAGTCAAAATCTCCCTCTGCTGTATATCTTAATTTGTAAGTATACGGTCCCAGTAATTCTCAGCATTTCTCTTTTTTTTTCCCTAAATGAATTGTTGACAAGGTTGCACCAACATTCACAGTGCCAATGAAAGTCCTGATTTAGAAGTATAATCCTTCTCAACTATAGCCTTTCATTTCCTCTGTTGCTGGGAATTGATGCTGTTCTGCAGGGGAACAAGGTGGAGATTGCCTCTTGAGGTCAAAGCTTATGTACTCTCCTAAACCCTGTAATCTGAAGTCTTTCATTTTAGCTGTAATTCAATTAGAAACATTTAAGATTGCCACTGCCACTGAAATAAATGAGCCATTCCCCACCAGCATCATCCTTACAAAAAGCATGCACTTAGCCAAAAAAAAGTTCAAGCAATCAATTACAAAAGTAAAAGGAAACTGCAGAAGGGATGGAAGCAGATTTGCATATATGAAGCAAAACAAATGAGCGATGAGTCATGTGGTTGTTTCTGTGTACATTTGTGTGCAGGAGGGTGTTTTGAATTGCCACCTCCCTAAAATGTACACCTCTGGGTATTTTTGCTTCCTATGTTTTCTTTTCCCTCTTGTAGGTTTTGACCTTGCCTGTGCTGCAGGGTCTCTCTGTTCCTTCAATTGAGTTCCTCAGAGTCTGGCTGGTGGAGAATAAATGTCCTGTCAAAATCCTACGGAACCAGCAGCAACAGCTCAGGTAAATGTCAACAGCAGTTCGGGTAAATGCCAGCTACTGGCTTTATAGGTAAATACCTGCTAGCAGCTACGGGTAATTGTCAGCTGGTAATTACATTAAACCTGTTCAAATCTTGTGACAAGAATTCCGCATACGGACTGTTTACCTGCAGTTTATGTCAAAGTGAATGAGCTGGCTCATTTGTACCTGCACTTCATTCTCAAGGCTGGAGAAACTCTGTCTTAGATAATTATGCTCTCATAATTTAGCAGGCAGAATGATTAGTATTTGAACTTGTTCTATGCCAGAACATTCTCTAGAATTAGAACCTCAAATTCTGGATCTTCATAGGGAATCTATTTGTTTAATTATTTGTTCTGTAGATGTGACTGCATTTACTGCCCATAGCAGCCTCAGAGGTTGATGATTCTTCCTCATGAAACCGTTATGTCTCCAAGCCTGGATATTTAGTTACGTTGAGATGGAAGAACCTAGAGATAATTCTACCATTTCCATTCGGAATGAGACGTTAATAATCAGGGAACAGAGATTTTAAAGGATTAGTGGAAGAATCTGAGGTGGAATGTTTTCACTTGGAGAATGGTGTGGATTTGGCTCTTTTTAATAGGCAGCGATTCTCATTGCGTTTAACAAACAGTTACATTTGCACTTGAGGTTCTGTAACCACAGGACTATAGTACAACAGCTGGGAGCTGTATTAAGACCAAAGAGCATGGACACAATAGACTAAATGGTCTCCCTCTGTGCTATAAAATCTATGTTTCTCTGTCGTTGTACATTGCTTCTGTATGTCCTGCTGATATTCTATATTCTGCTGCTATAAATTGTGTGTAAGTACTGGACATATTTGAGTTAAGATTTACTATATTGAGAAGCATGCCTAGCTTCGTTCCTGAGTTTTATTATTTTTGTCTCTGCAGCAAATTTAAACTGGGGCCTACTGCAGAGATTGGAATTCAACTACTGCAAGCAGAAGAAAATCTAACGTGAGTATACTTATTGTTTCAGAGATAGTAGGAACTGCAGATGCTGGAGAATCTGAGATAACAAGGTGTAGAGC